GGTGGCCTACCGATATATCGAGCTGGTGCTGCAGTCATCCCAAACAAGTCTGGTACCAGTTTGCCGACCACAGAGGAATGAAAGACTTGGTGAACTTGTGGAGCGGGAATCGATTCAATGTGTATCACAGGGCTCCTCCGACCACTGCGCTTCCTTCGCCACTGAGCGACTGGACCTATGCGATATGTAAGGACAGGCGCTTTGTCGCAATCGTACTTCTAGGGAAATAGACAGCATCTCACACGCACTTGGCTAAAACCGTCGTGCTCTACTTGTATCTGCTGTATCGTTCTGCTTACATTGCATCCACTTGCATTGTGATACTACCGATTTTGGAATCATTTGCTAGAGCGAGTTGGTGCTGTAGAATAGGTGGGAATCTTCGCGGGTTGCCCGAAAATCCACTACGAAATCCTCCTCCATTCTAACCCTTTTAATCACTGAGATACTCAAGTAGGTATCAACAAGATCTCTGTCCTTCTCAATTGAATCGCTGAGCTTATTTTGTGAACGGTTTCATTTCTGGTATGGAACCAATTCTTTGGCAAGAAGATAGCTCAGGTACCTGATTGTTTTTCTTTGTTTCCTTGCTGCATTATCTACATTGGTCCTCTAGATAGAAATGTCGAACTCCGTAGTTACGTTGGCGTTTTTAAGGAATGAATCACCCTTTGTACAAGCATTTCAACAAACCACCGGGACAAGGACAGGGAAGGAAATATTTGAGGTGAAATTACTTACCTACTTATTTGCAGCCCACCGAAGCGAAGTTCTTTGGGTTTCAACGAATCAATTGAACTTGATGCAAATGTTCTGTGTTCAGCACTGCGAACCCGTTCAAATAGGGTAATACTTTGTTCTCAGTACGGCTTTCCCATAGAGTTCCACCCTCAGAAATTTTTTCTAAGTACTTTTATTCTGCTTTATTTCTTTGATTCATTTTATACAAACATAATTTTAGGAACCAGTTCTTAAGAAGATAAGTTCAAAAACGGTATGTCAACCGTTATTGTTCAATTCCTCTGATGAAGAGAACGACTTCGACTTGCTTGACGCCGACTCCTCTGTTCAACACCCTGTTCTGGATTCAATGTAGTATTACTGAAACGTTCCTTTCAGAATGTGGAAATCAGTATTAAATCAAACTAATATTTCCCTTTTTAGATCTTACCCTGAGGTACCAAAATCAATGCGAGAACGTGTTCTTAAAAGTTCGTTTTTCGGGAATTTTATGACATTTAAATACGTCAATGAACTTTACCTAACTTCAGGCTCAGAATACAGTCGATCCACTGGTCTAGGCGGAGCTCAAGGACCTGCTGACATGGCACTGGCTGACCTGGAGCTCAGGTTCGACACTTTATTTATATAATTTATTCGTTTTTCTTTTAGTTCAAAGCTCGTAGTCTTCCAGAGTTTTGGGTACGCTCCAGTAATTACTTATCAATACTAATATCATACAGTGCATACTACTTAACAATGATTCGATAGACTTTATTTGGCTTTGACTTAGGCTTAGACTTAGGCTTAATTTTAAGCCAAGTCTAAGCTCCAATATTATAAGATAGACTTCATTTGGCTTTCTAAAATAGCGTTCGTATTCACATACGCTGACCGTTATATACTTTGATCCTCTCAAGATCTGCTCAATACCCCAACATTTCCTATGAAAAGGTCATTCGTTTGAAATAAATCTGAGATTTGCTTTAATGCTACTGAACAAACTTAGGCAGTTGAATTCGCTTTCGATCCATATTGGAAGTACTCAAATGTTCTTCTTAAGACGATGTTTTTCGGGAGAAGCGCCTAAAAGGAACTCTAACTCTGTATTGAAACGAAAGAACAATCCGACTGATGCGAAGAATCAACGACTATCTCAGTTCTTCCCAAAGAAGTGTAAAAACATAGATGTAATAAATCTGGATAAAGTATAATTGCTGTTACGAGATGTCGCTATGTATATTTCTCCATCAGTTTCTCTTTGCATTAGTCTGTCTTATCTTCTGCGGGTACATTATTACATCTGTGAAGCACTCATTCGTCAGTGTTCTCTGTAGGTTAGTATTCCTCTTACATATATCCTCCTCTGAAGCTTAAAATTCCTCGGCAATCTTTTCTCGTTTTTACCTTATGACTACCTCATTTTATCAGCGTTTAGCCATAGTTCATACGTCTAAAATATCTCTTTGGTCGTACTGGTCGTGTATTTGTAGCATTTCTCTGATAAACCTTGTTCTCGACGACATTTTAACTTTCAGCTGAGTGCCTTCGCAGGTGATCGATCGTTCCAATTGGACGAAGGTTCCGCTGAACGCCGCGTTTCGACGCTCTCTGATATTTATTTTTGCTTATGGTTCACTAATTATGAATAATGAAGTCGAATGCATGACGCATCCCTGGCATCCCTGAGGGATTAATCAACGCCGAGAGCTTCATCTTTTTTTTTTACTTCACTAATTAATTCCGATGCGAGGTGTTATTAAAAGTAAATTGCCAATAGAGTATCAATATCAGCTATTTTATTAAAGAATGAAAGGATAAAGCGACTGGAAGTGACCTATCTCGTTTTCTTGCGCCATCCATACGATTTCGTCAAGCTTTTTATACTTCGTTGAATGCATGCTTACCTTATACAGTCTTTTGCAGTGATCCTACTGATGTTTCAAACTAGTATTTTTATTTTCACAGCAATTCTGGGACCAAATTGTTGACCCGTAGGGTGGAGGTGTTGATTATCCTCAAGGTGGCGGTGAAGCCAATAACCATATCTATCGCTGAGTATCTCAAACCACTACGTTACCTTACCAGGTTACTATGTGCCAGTTCAGTTTCAGGGACGAGGTACAACAATGGTGGTGTTTCAGGAGCACATTGATGGCTCGATTTCACTCTAGCCCCACTAAACCTCCCTTCCCTCCGGAGTCATGAAACTTGTACCAGACTCTTCAGGGATCAGCTCGCTCCTCTCCTATCCAGGTGTAAAAGCTCTATGAGTAAGACTATGCCAAATACTTCATGGGAAATCGACTTGACCAACATTCGACATCGTTCATGTAGGTGGCGAACATGTTCACTAAAGGCAGCTTACATACAAATGTTTGAAGACATTAGTGTATTACGCTGTGATCCGCACCTTAGATGTGAACACCGGTTATACAAAATAAATGGACAGAGTAATAATCCAGTTTTGCTGTTGGTGGTGTGTGGCAACCGTCTTTTTTCCAGTAATCACATTGAGGCTGATGAAGCTGTCGGCGTTCATCCATCCTTGGAGGATGCGCCATGCATTCGACTTCATTAAACATCGTTAGAGGTGATTGAATGCATATCTGTCCTTTACAATGACTCGCAGTGGCCTTCCCATATATCGAGCCACGGCTGCTATCCTCCCAGATAAGTCTGGTACCAATTTGCCGACCCGCGAGAGATGAAAGGTGTGGTGAGCCTAGCGCGCGGGAGTAGGCCCCATGTCCATTGCCATTGCATGGCACCTCGGTCTAATGGGCCACACGCTCCCTTTCATAACCACATCGTTTAAATAAAAATGGCACGACTCGGTAGTGTGACATTCAACTGCATGTTGTTCTGCTGCAATACACTCTGCATAAACCGCTTATTAAACGAACTTAAAGAAGTAAACTGTGGTAGTAATTAACTTCTTATTTGCTGCCTACTTGAATTTTTCACGCCATAGTATTATGTGAAATACAACCACGGTGATGGTGGAATATTTGTAAAACTTCAGACCGTTGGTGTCTACGGTAGGGAACGAACGCGCTATTACCCTTTACGTGCCTTAACGCGTTCACCACCACGCGATGCGTGGCCTGCGTTCCGTCGGTCTCTCAACCTGTCGTAATGGTTGTGGTATCAGTCTTTAAATATTTCTACGACTTGGAAAGTAGGCACGTGTTCAGATTTCTCAGAAACAAGAGAATGTGTTACTGAGGTTCTACCGAAGACGTGTACACCCATGTTTCTTCCTATTATTTTTGTACTGATTGTCATTGTAGTATTCCCGCTAACCTGCATGATTGTAAGAACATCCTGTTGTTTTACTAGTTCGTTACTGGTAGGTCGCCGACTTTAGATTTAAGGGTGTTATTTCACCAGCAATAACTCCAAAGCGATCAAGAAGGTGTTCGAGGTTTCCATTCGGAAGCAGAGCTACGAGTGAACCGATGCCACTTTACTTCCATCGTGTGTGTGAGCAACTGGCGAATAGTTGGAAGAGCTTGGAAGGACTTTTTTTGCACTGGCTTTCGACGTGTTAGGGAGAGAAGATCCAGCTGAATCTGAAGGGAAAATAGCCAAACAGACGTTGTTCTTGAGAGCACACGATTCTTAGTAATTCATTAAAACGGACCATTCGACCACTAATGTTTCTTGGAAATGGCTCCAGTGAACGTGGATGAGAGTGGTCCTATCTTGCAATACACTTCCTTTTCGACGGTGTCCTTAAAAGTTTTTAAGTAATCAATCTCATAACTCGGACTTCTTTGTTTGTTCAGTGATTTTCTACTAGGGTCTTCTTCATTAGCCTTCTTCTCACTAGGGTCTCCCTATCTTCGTCATGTCTTGTGCTTTTGTTTTCGTTAGCCAGTGAACTGGATTCTAAGCAATCCTGTTTTGGCCAGGGATTCTGGAATCTTATTCGTCTGGAAAGCAGAGGTTGTATCTCTGTATTACAACGGAGTGAATTCAACCATAATGATGCTGATCCGCAAAACTGCGTAGCGCTTGTATCAGCGGTAGGGTTCGAACACGCTATTACGCTTTCAGGGGGCTGACGCGTTCACCACCAGCCATGCTTTTCCTTTGTTTCGCCTGTCTCTTAGCTAGTTTTCTATCTACCAGTGCCATCAGCATGAATTGAATCCATTTAGGGCTTATTATCCTGGTTTTTTTTAAAGATACGGTCTTCGAAAGTTTCGAGATATTGTTGAGTATGGAATTTCTTACTAATCGTATAAGAATTTTGTTTGTTCAAGATGCCCTACATGATTGATACTCATTGTCATTTGGTGGACGATAAATTCAAGTCGGATGTTGATGAAGTGATTGCACGGGCGAAAATCTACTATGTGAAGCAAGCAGTTGTGTGCCCAGAATATGTGAGTCAGTTCGACGCCGTCATGGATTTACGAAGTAGACATCCAGATTTCGTGCTCGCAGCTATAGGAATTCATCCAATTCAGGTGAGTTCAAGATTTGATGGATATGCGCTTCAATTTAGACACTAAATAGTTCATATAGGTAGGAATTATTGAAGTCTTATTTTTTACAAGCAGTTTTGGATATTTACTTGGATGGCCCGTCTTCACTGGTTGTGCGGGTCCCAGCGTAATTTCTCTTGTTCCAGAGTTTTGCTGGTTTAGCTATTATAGCTCCCTGATGTCCCAAGGTAAGCCTAGCCAAAGTCTGCCCCAACTCGTCACCACCACAGGCAGCCGTCGCCCTTGTGGATGAGAGGAAGATTTACCACCGTGCGACTTGTTTGATACAGAGACGGTGGTGGATCCTGGCATTGCTTTACTCTTAGCTGGGTTTCCTGACGGAAACGCAGGACGCCTTTTGAGCTTGGGAGGCCTTGCAGGGGGAAGAATCCCCCCACTGTACATCGCAGCCCGACACCAGGCAATACCTAACAGCCACGATGAGGCGGTAAACCATTGGGAGGTACAAGCAATTTGTGATCCGTAATATTAAATTACGAAGCAAAGGACTGCGGAGAAACGCAGCTTGGCCCGGAGTGCTTTGTTATGTACAAGTTGTTCTTCTGAAGACCTGATTCAATCTTACTGTACTGGATAACTTATTTGATGAGTGATGATCGATCGTGTATCGTTTAGAAGAACAACAAATCTGTGACGTTCGATGACATAAAAGGTGTGGAAGAATTTCTTATGAAACATCGTAGCAATATTTCTTGCATTGGAGAGGTCTGTAACTACTTCCTACGTTATGAAGTCTTAGTTAATTCAATACTTCTAAAGTATAGATTGGTTTGGATTACACTCAACGTTATAAGATCACCGCTGATGATATTGTTGTACAGAAAGAAGTTCTAGCCAAACATATTGAATGGGCCAGGGCGCTAGATCTGCCGATGTAAGTACTGTTTCATCAAATTGGTTTTTACAGAAAACAATAGATTATATTGATCAAGCCTCTGTTATGTGGTCTTGAATATAACGCATATTATCCACTAATGGTCGAAAATGATCTAACCTTTAGGTTTCAAACGCACGTATTTCAACTCGACTATTTTTTACGGTTTAGAATACTTACTTACTTAGATACTTTTGGATGGCCCGTCTTCACTGTTTGTGCTGTCACCAGCATAATTTCCACTTTTTCGTAGTTTTGCTGGTTTAGCCATTGTGGTTACCTAAGTCACGAGTTGAGTTCAGCCAAAGTCTACCTCACGTAGTCACCACCACAGGCAGTCGCCGCCCTTATGGATCACAGCGAGTAGTTTGGTACTAGGACCACGGTGGAGCCTGGTATTGGTTTAATCTCAGCTGGAGTTCCCGATGGAAATACCGGACTCCTTCCAGCTCGGGAGACCCTGCTGGAGGGAAGAATCCCCCCGCTGTATATCGCAACCCGACACCCAGGAAGACTTCCCACCCACGATGAGGCGGTAAACCGTTAGGAGTGGTTGACGATAGAAACAGTTAAAATCTTCAAGACCTTACTGTGAAGGTTTTTTCACTTATAAAGAATTACATCCTTCTGATGTCCACAGATCGTTTTTTTTTGTTCGATTTTATCATCCAGATTTGTATTCTTAATGGTGAAACGACAAAACAAGCGCATTTTGTCCTCGTCGATTACGTGATTGATATTGGCGGCTGCTGGATTCCTGTTTTAAAGTCTTAGAAGCCCTTTATCATGTAGTATCATAGTTATGGAGAACCATCGCTGTCATTGTTCAGATTACGAACATTACGGGTTCCGGGTTACGATGCTGAGTGTCATTCATTTTTGATTGTCTGAAAACTTTCTTTTTCTGTACACGTGTTTAGACCTTCATAACTTGATACCTCTTGACCGCTTCAGGACCGTTCATTCTCGCGGTGCCGTCATGGATACTATTGAGTTCCTCAAGTGGAATAATGCTAGTCGAGTAGTACTTCATGCCTTCAATGGTTCAAAAGAGGAAGCCCTTTGTGCTTTACAAGCTGGATTCTCCTTCTCCATTCCTCCATCGTTTACTAATGGTCGCCATGTACGTTTCGTTTAATACGTTATCGAAATTCAGTAGAAGTATATATCACACCTTGTATAACGAAATTTACAAATAGGTTAAAATATCGCAATTTCTCGTGGTATCCTGAACTTGAAGAAAAACTTTCAAGGAATGAATTTACGAGCCACTTACGATGCGTTTGTGTTCTAAATCACATTCAGAAGCGTTTTCTGGTCGACGTCGTTCCTTTGAATCACTTATTGTTAGAAACAGACTCACCAGTTCTGGGCCTAGTCAAAAGTGAAAGAAATGAACCTGCTTACCTCAGATTTCCTGCAGAATTCATTGCCGATGTAAGTCCATGCAACTTTATTACTGAAAATGATCTCAGTGGTCTCTGAATTTGCAGGTAAAAAAGTTGTCTTTCGAAAAAGTAGTATCGGCAACAACTAGCAATGCTGAGAGACTGCTGAATATGAAGAGTACATGAATGGACGTAAGAATAAATCTGATCAGCAATCTATCTCAACTGCAAGCTTTAGTGAATCAGATCAGCATCACACATAAATTCATTCCTACTCACCAAATGAGGAATTCGAGACCGGTATTGGTAGAAGAGATGAGGTATAATGAAGAATGAAAGTTAACAGAAGTGAACAGGCCATGAAACATCCCATGATCATGAAGAGCATGTCGTATCCGAATAGTGGCAGAGCGAACTGCGACAGTAAAGCAGCCAGCACGCCGGCAACCGGCTAGAATTTAGAAACGAGGTGTTAACGTGGTGTAATTTGCTTGTTACTTCAGCCTTAATTTATACAACTTTTATTTTCACGTCAAAAATTTCATCTAGAATGGATCCACATATGGCCACTCATCTCCCAGATATAACTGATCTCGACCTGGTTAGTCGCATAGGTACATGACTCGTCTATGAGTGGCAGGTCAGGATTTGATAGTTGTTCAAATGGCAATATTTGATACTTGATACTTGAACGGCCCATCCTCACTAATTGTGCGGACCCCAGCGTAATCACCGTTTTTCGGAGATCTGCTGGTTAAGCCATTGTGGTTCTCTGGAATCCTGAGGACAGCCTGGACAAAGTTTGCCCAGGTCGTCACCACGACCGGCAGTCGCAGCCCTTGTGTTTCAGAGGGAGATTTGCCACCATGCGACTTTGATACCAGGACGGTGGTGTCCTGATATTGGTTTACTCTAAGCTAGACTTCCTGATGGAAACGCCGGACTCCTCAGCTTGGGAGACCCTACAGGGGAGACGAATCCCCCCGCTGTACATTGCAGTCCGACACCCAGAAACACCTCCCAGCCACGATGAGGCGGTAAACCGTTGGGAGGTCAGATGTCAATAATGTAGATAATATCTATACTGAGACTTATTGGACTCAAAGATGTACTTTACGTCTATGCCCTAGCCAAACAACTTTCGCTTTCCGGATGAGTTAATCATTTCCATGCGAATATGCGTATTTTTGTAAAATATGCCCTGTATACAGACTAGACCAAAGCCTGAAGAGATGTGATTGGAATGTATGAAAGAGGCGGCGTGGGCTTTTTTTCAACAAATAAACCTATCATGTACTCTGGGAGAGTTTCGAAACTTTCACTAGGGTGAACCTTTTCCCGTGTGACAAAGTTTGACGACGTATCCTCTGGCTTAGTTACGATTGGGTTAACGCAGGTGTATGAAGATTTGTTGGTGTCACCTTGTAAAGTTCGAAGTTGAGGGTTTTGTGTGCGCATTACCGCAAATATGTATGGCTCAGGTTGATTCGGACGAATCCTACCTTTATGTGGTTACTCTCTGTGATTACAAACTGAGAACGCAGTGGCGCAGCTGTCTCCAAGACTCCTGGGAAGCTTGCACAAGCCAGCAAGCTGGTAGTTAGATCTAGTTTGTGGTTGCTACTTTGCAAAACTTTTTGGTATGGAACCCCTGACATTGATTTGGTTTGAGCTGGACTTCCGCGTGTGCTATTACATCATCAGTATTTTCGCAGTAATGTTGAATGTCAAGAATATCAATCCTTACCAAGGAACATTGTATAAATCCGTAAATAACACCAAAGTTGCTGCTGCCAAAGTGTTTATTCGTGATATATGGAAAGAGCGAGTATGTTCCACCAATACAAGTGAACATGGCACATATCTGAAACCATATGTATAAAAAAGGATTACGGAGTGGCATATTTTACCACCTAAGCTGAAAGAAGACATCATTAACATCGGTGCGAGGAATTCATCTACATAACTACAATGGCTAGCGTTCACCTCAGTTATCTTCTCTGATGACATTTTCAGATCTTTTTTTAGGTGGTTTCATGCCAGTTCACTTTTCTGGTAGTCAATTCATGTAAGACCTTGTTTTGAATATTCATATGTATCACAATGTTAATTTTTTATTTGCTGCCTACTACAATTGCGGGGTATTATCTGAAATGCAACCATAATGATACTGAGATATTTGCAAAACTTCAGACTACAGGTGTCTGTGGTGGGGAACGAACGCGCTATTGACCTTTCCGAGGGTTAATGCATTCACCACCGCACCATGCGGGTCCTTCGTTTCGCCTCTCGCTCAGCAAGTGTTTTTCGTTTGTAGCGTTGAATAAAATCTATGCGCTTTTGCCAATCATTTTCAGGAAGCCCAAACTCACCGTAACTAGGAAAACCATTTGATTGTTGGTCTCACGAACTGCCGGTAAGAGCCATATGAGTGATGCACCCATTGTGCAGACAATAGTCATAGAGAACTGGTAGGATGTCTGCAAGAAAATGGTCTTAGGTAATGGTGGAAGCCAGAAAAGGGAAAAAAGTGGGTCTTCGAGAGACGCGCCGCTACTTTCCTAAACTAATTCATGAAGTCCATGTTTGCAAGCCTAGCAGTTCCAAATAAGTGACTAGGAACTGACTGAAACTGTATGATATACAACATACAGGTTATGAAGACCTCTTCCTTTTGTCTGTTTAGCGCTTTCACAACTTTGTTAACGCTCACTGTAACGCTGATGTAACTGTTCGCCGTGATAACATACTTGATCAGCGATGGCTCCCCATATAACTCGACTGCACGCATTGAATACTGAGGCCAGTGAGCCGACAAATGAAAGGAATAAATCATTGTGGATGTACTGTTGTCCGTAAGCCTGAAGTTTTTCGATGAAATTTCGCAACAAGTTCCTTCTTTTTGAACGATGTTGCCCTTAAAGTGACAGTATAAATTACTTCCATAAAAAAAAAAACAATATGCAACTATTAATCACTTCTAGAAGCACCAGTCTTCAGTTGTTTTCATCTTGAGGGTTTACTCTGCGAAGTACTGTGCCTATCTCGATGCAACGAAGCGAAGAACTTATAGGACAGTGGTGCTGATGCTGGCCATCACGAGCAGCGTTTCGGTTCGATCCCGCCCAGACTCACCAAGCCTGTCATCCTTCGGGGACGGGAGATTGGTACTTGTCCGCGGAAAAATCACTCTGTGCAATCCAAGTGGGAACGTTCTAGCCCTGCTCTAGAAAGACTAGGAAGAATCTACTCGACCAGTATTTTACGATATTCAAGATGAAATCAAAACCCTCGAGTAGCAGCAGAAACTACACGTAAAAGTTAGAAGACCTCATTGTAAAATGGATGCGAGAAAACGAATCGGATGTTCGAAGTGCTGAGATCTTCACTGTAGACGTGAAGACGAATCGTATAAAATAAAAGAAATCAGTCCTGGTCGCTTCAATTGTTACCGTCGACGGCGTGTAGAATAAATGGGCGCGAACTATTCGGCATTGACCAATCCATATAGGATGGGCAATGCATTCGACTTCATCAAGCATCGTAGAGGCATATTCGGCTTATACAATACTCTGTGATGACCTACCGGTATACTAAATAAGCGCTTTTTTATTCTACTAAGCAAGTCCGCTACAAACTACCTACCCGGAAGAGTTGAAAGGTTTGGTGAGCATGACGCGCAGAAGTGAACCAGCAATCTACTGATTCAGTGTTAATAGCACGCACTTCTAGCATCTTGGCTATACATGCGTTGTGTATTGTAGAAAATGATAATAATATCAAATGTGGAATGAAACTGCAAGCTTAGTGACATACCTTATACAAGCCACTAACTAACTGAACCCATAAACTGTTGCAAGTTAAAGAGATGAATAAAATCCAGAACGTGGTTGACTTCAGTTGTGTGGCAGTAGATTTTTCCGTGCTTTCTATGCTTAGTATGTCATTTCCTACAGTTGGTTGCTAAAATTGCAATGTCACGTCTTCTGATTTCATTTTTGGTAATGATAGTTGTTTATAATCGAACCTCTATTGGTTCGCCAACAAAAATCAGTCCGACTGTCTGTAGCAATACGAACAACACTGCCATCACAATAAATACATGTGGGACCTGAATTGTCGTTTTAGATAGAATTTAATCCCAACATTTGAAAACTATGGTCAAGTCTGTCATATTCAGAAATCATTTGTAGAGAACGAAAAGTCAGAACATTTAGATAAAACCAAGGCGGAGCGTTATACGTTGTGCAACACTTGGCATTTGATTGTCACTTTAGCTGTCAGGTCTACACTTCGACCCTGTGATAATAGCCAGATGTTCATTATAAGCAGTCAGTACCCGTCTTAACACTTTTCCTGCTTGAAGTTTTTCCTGCTTGTTATTATTATTAAATAGGGAGATGTTGAAGAATGGTGACTACGGTGTTTTAGTACCAGCTAGAACGATACTTTTAGCAAACCAATTTCTGAATCATGGGTGACCTTGCTGGATGTCAAGCGTGATGACACTATCTGTCGTAATTCAACATTATCACCTTTTTTGGAGTGCGTAGATCAGTAAGGAAGGACGAGAACAAGAAAAATTGTGGACGACGAGAAACAACAATTCCATTGTTCCAGAAGGGGTTGAGCTTCCTCAACTGACATTCCTTTTAAATGTCCTTTATCATTACGTAAAAACGCGTCAAATTCTTCTTAAATCTCATGTCAATTTTAAATTTATTTGAAGCTACGATCTTTCGGAAAGATTAAAGACGAATTCTAAATTTTTGAAGATTTCGATGAAAATGTGGCATCCACTTATTCCATGGCAAAGAAATCCCATCTGTTCAGGCCTCTCCCTGCTTACAGTATGGATTTTGGTCCAGCAAAAAAAAGCGAAGGAAGACGACTTGTGTGGTCCAAAAAATCAGAGTTTTGTTGTAGTAGGATATTACAACTGAATGTCTAATCTCTGTAAAGAATGAAAGAAAAGCGGATCTTTTGCTGCACAAAAGGGATAGCTGTTTCAAGAAGCTTCGAGATGATGGATGACATAGAATAGTAATTTTTTCTATAGAACTTTAACTTTTCGGAGACGAAACTCTCCAAAACGATAGATCTTTTTGCGTTCCCTATTCATAGTCTTTTTTTATTCTGGTAAGCTTTGCTTGCATTGATGATATAGGCTTAATAGTCTTTCTATCGAGGATCCAAATAAGTAGGGGGATTTTCCTTGAGCGAAATTAGGCTGTAGTTCTAGAATTCTCATCAGTAGATGAGAACCACTTCGTCAACACTACAATTGTACTCAGCATTTCTATAGGTCGCATCCAGTGTATAGAATTCTTTCCATGTTAAACAAACAATCGAAAAGTCTTTCATATCGTCAATTAACATCGAATACACCCGTTTGTTTACATAGAGATGATGTGGTGAAGAAACGAGACCTTGACACTATGCGAAGAATATTTGACGTTGTTCGTCTACTAGGAAAAACTATGACCGTCGTTTTCCGGTGCCTTCCGGCAAGACCTGCTCTAAGAAAATACTGCCTAAATAAGTATAAAAGTATCACATTAAGAATTATTTATTAAGGGGAAGACGAAAGAAAGAAGCCAAAATTTACGCCATGTCCCTTTAATTTCTTAAGATTTCAACCTGAGATTCCGGACGAATTAGTTTTTATGTGGAAATGTTAGTGGATTGTAAACCCAGGTTAGTTTTTATCGAAACGAAGCAATGGCATCGACAAAAACAGAAATTTTCAGAAAAACATTTTCCTCTCACCTGCAAAGTAGGATTATTATAAAACAGTGTTTAGAAAGAAAGACAACAGTTGATAGCGTCAGGGACTGCAGCGAAGTCGAGTCATTTAGATATTCTTAATTTCAATTTTGTATTTTCACTTTTCTTTTCTCTAGTGTAGTTCATCAGAATATGCAAAAAATCTTACACGTTGATGTTCAACCCACTTTTCATACTTCCAAAAACCTTGTGACATGTAACTTACTACTGACCTTCTTGAGAAGGTCTTCCTGCGTGAAGAAACCGTCGCTGTTCACTCTGTAGTTATGTGGATTGATAAATGCAGTTTGTAGAGGTGATAGAATGAATGCACCGCAACCGTAACCTCCCACTATCATCCCACCGGCCAAGCCAACATTGTCTGGAAACCACTGAAAATACACCATATGTTTATAAGTACTGTCTTACAAACTGAAAACAGAGAAAAGAGGTGGAAGACCAGTACCACTATACCAATGGATGATGGCGTAACAGTTCCTCAAAGAGTTCGCCGTCTGATATCAGGTATTGTGGTGGTTATGTCAAACCATCAGAAAAGCATGTTTTACGAGCAAGCAACGAATGGAATACAAGGCTTCTAACTTAGTCAGAACACTAGCCTAATATGCTGCAAGAGACGAAGATCTCCTCCTTAAGTCCCGTTACAACTCTTATGGCTACTCTTCCATGTATACTCTTCATATTGCCCTGTTCTCTACTAATACGGTTTTTCGTAGCACCGAACGACGATATACTGCAACAGCTTCAGGAAATCATCCAACTGGTGGAATTCTACTCTCTCGCTATTAAGCTTCGGTTAGCTTTAACTTCTTTGTACAATCGAATCTAATTAGGAAGAAGCCTAGTCTCATGATGGCTAGCGATCTTCCGAAACATAAGGTTTGACCAAATCCTGTGGTGACGACGTCGCAGCGTTTTATGCGGCTACCTGATGTCTTTTAGGGCGCGTGCGGCGCGATGCCTGGAGGCGCCAATGCGACACACACGTGTAATCGATCTCCACGCCAATTGCCCAACAAGCCTTCCATCGCTCTAGGGTCGGTAAATTGGTACCAGACTTGTCTGGGAGGATAGCAGCACTGGCTCGTTACATCGGTAGGCCACCGCGAATCATTGTAAAGGTCAGAGATGCATTCAATCAGCCATTTGAACACAAGGCAAATGAAATTGTTCTGTAAAGAAATATCACGAAACTCCTATGGCTTGGCAACTGTGAAAACTGTATTGAAAGCGGAATGCACGTTTGGTAGTGTGTTCTGTACTTTTCGTTAATGTCATAAATTTCTGATAATGAATTCGCGCCCATATTTGATCAGCACTCATTAGTTCCTGTCACTGACGGAAAAAGCTGCTTTTATCGTGCAAAAGATGTGGATGTTTCATTGGATATCGCTTGATGTGGTAACGAAGGAATCCTGGAGTGTCACACTAAATTCTCAAGTCTTCGATAAAAGGTTTAGTGATTTTAAGCAGAACTCTGAGGATCCTTCAAAAATAGTTTGAGGAATTTTATTTTGAAGTGACTCGCACTTTCACTCTAACCAACTCACGTTGGGTTCATTTTCTTCCTTATTTCACGTAAAGTTGTACTATAAGATTTAGTACTAATAAATAAATCAAATCTCACTATAACTCAACACAATAAAAATAAGAATATAAGGGCATCTAGAACATGTTATGAATGGATCCTTACAGATGTACTTTACTCACTCGTTGTGCTGTGGTTAGTATCGCATTGTAGGCTATACTTCCACCCATACTTGCGATAAATCCCATTGTAAGTAGAACCATACCAAATGAGTACTGAATTGAAATGGATGTCATGGCTATTCCTGTTCTGAAAACAGCCGCTTTTGTTAAAACAAGTGATCCCATTAAGAATCTGTAGTTTCAAAACTCTTTCCGTGATTCAAATAGTTTGAATGTATAATAATATGAAAACAGAATCGATGCACATGTAGCGTAGTCGTTAGAGCTGCTCTTCAATACGGACTTGGTGGTTGGGTCGATACCATGTGGAACACCGAGGGCTCGATAAACGTGATAGAGTTTGAAAAACCCACACTTTTTAAAATGTTTTCGTATTAGCCTTGCGATTTCGATTTGGAGTTTGCACAAAGTTTTTGCGCTTGCTTTGAATTAAATTTATTTGCTTTTACAACAACAGCTCCATTATTTATATAACACTCTAATAAAAATACATGTTGATAACTAGAAGACAAAAAACAAAGAATAGTGTGAAAGTGAAAAATCTTTCAGTGATGTAAGCGAAGTTTCCCTAATACGTAGGAGAATGGTAAGGTTGATAGTTGTGGTGTCAAAGTGGGAAGCTATAGGCTTGAAGTTTCACATGAACTCTCCCTAAGGGACACCTGATAAAGAACACTATAGTATGAACATAATTACGCTTATGGCATGCATAAGGTAGGCTCATTGTCAAAAATGGATAAAATTCATACTGTCCAGCATGGGAAGATTGGCCCCTCTTTTCTAAACGGTTCGCCACTACTCCGTTATAGAATTTAGTGCGAGCGCTTCAGAATGAGTGAATATGTTAGCACCACCTGCAAACGACTCTATATGCGTTCTTTATGGCAAAATCGCGCGACCAGCCGTAATGAAAGGGTCCATAAAAGCTGTGCTGTGAATCGCGAATCATTGTAATCCAATCTAGATGAACGAACCTATGACGGAGCTTGGCTTCTATGATAACAATATGAAAATTACTTGTCTGATAATCACCTATTACTATTTTCTACACAAAACCAAACATGTGATCTCGGGTGGTTTTCGGGGTGGTGAAACGCCGCGTAATGAACAACTATTCCTGTATAAAGAAACCTCCTTTCTCCGATCGACGAATCAAACCCATTAGCTGCTTCCACTAGGCCTTAATATCAAGTTGATGTACCGCCAATGTTAAGATAAAACCCTAGTTTTGCATCAATCTATCCTATAAGTTATGCGTATAAAACGCATAAATATGGAGCTGCAACTCGTTGAGTGTGATCAACGCTAAGAAAATCATCCTGTCCCATTAATCGTGTAAGAGAGAGCTATGTAGCCAACAGAGTGAAAGTATTAAAAGCTTTTTCTTCTTTATTTTACATAACGCTTCATCACATCTACTGTACGGATCCCAGCACATCTTACATTCGATTAGTTTTCCTAACATTCGTCGTCCATAAAGCTCTTCACGTGTTGTTTCGTCTGCTGCATGGGGATTTCGTCTTTTTTCAATTGCTATAGAATGTTGGTTGAGTCGACTTTCCATTGGAAATAGTCTAGATAAGGATTTCCCACACGGATTAGAAAAGAGCATTATGTAGGGGAGAAGCAGCACCTTGCTTCCTGATGGACGACTTCACTAATTACTCATTCATCCATCGAAACTCACTAAAAGTAAAGAAATTACCAAGCTGGAAAACGTTGTTGCTTTAGGATAGAAGTGTAGCAATATAGGCTCTCGTAAGCCCTTCAATAACTTCAGAAAGAATGCCATTACATTTACACTGTTTTTTTTTCATTCCAAAGTCCCTATCAACAAAGGATGCACTCCGTGAAAGCAAACATTGCCCATCATAAAGTTGAGTTGACAGATCTTGGGTGTGGAAGGGCCGCCGCGTAGGGATTTTTAGCGGTAGCGACAGACGAAAGCAAACAACGATCAGTGTCTGATTGATGCCCAAATAGAGTGATGAATACCGCATTGATGGCACCTGCACACAAACGTACTATGAGCAGAGAGCAAAGTGAGTCTTTCGTTGTGACTCTTTTGCCAACAACCGATGCTCATCGGTTATAAGTGGTATACAAGAAATGTATGCCACCATAGAGGTTAGTTGTTCGAAGTGATTCTCGTTTGTGAATTGGGGGTGGAGGGTTTGAAAAAGCTGTTTGGTAACGACGTTTTCTATCTTTCCACTTCTTTAGCTATTAATTAGGAGCTAACTTATCTGCGTAACAAAAGTCGTTGACGTGTTTTGAAATTTATAGACCATGACTTCTTTTTATGCTATGACCCATCTGCATAGCCTGTGGACTTGCAGTTTTTCGAATGAATTTAGACAGCACCATTGAATCTTCAAAGCTATTCACCAATCCTCCTTCTCACGCTTTGAGATATCCCCGAAACAGAGGTACAGCTTTTCTACGCAATTATTTCCGCTGTTTCTGGTGAATAAGTCAGCTGGTGTTTCACAATGCTCTGCTATGATGAACTTATATGTCAACATTTGTTTGTCTCTAATAAGGCTAATCTAAATTTCTTTAATAAGGAGCGAAATTGTTGGAGGTGAACAGACTTCTTCATAGTTTTCAGTCACTTGATTGCAGACTTTTAGACGAAACACTGTGTAGGACACAATCTCCATTTGAGCAAATATACCCATGCATGAATATACAGGAATACGGTTACGTGTATATATGGACGGTATAAGTCAATACGGTATGGCAGGGACAGGACGACCATCCGTTGAGTCACGTTTCGTCTCCGACTAGATGTAAGTAAACTATTCGCCTCTTTTAGTTGGTGTTTGATCTCCTATCTTTCACCTCAATACGTAGCCTATGACATGTAGCCCTTACCACTAACCAGCTCTAAATAAAGGAGGATAGTTAAGTCGTTTCTAATCAGATTATGCTTTCTAAGAAACATGATTAACATAACAAAAATGCCGCCATTGTTACTGCCTATTAACCTACTACTTTAGCTTCGAAGGATTTCGAAAAGAAGAAACATGTACTCGTCAACTCACTTTACTTTGCATGTTAATAAAATAAAAGCCAAAATAAAATAAAGACAAGTTATATATGATGCAGTGACAAAGTCTAAGTTAGTTTCAAGCGCAGAAAGCTTGCGTAGTATAACAGTGAACGTTCTAGAAGAAAAAGAACGTTTAGATGCTTCTAGAAACTAAACTAAACGTAAGACTTTATTCGGTATTTGACTGAATTCTGCCAAAAAGTTCTTTATTTTGTTTACTTCTAAATACAACTCTGGATAAACTAACATCCTAATTTTGTCATAAGAAGCACATAAGTTAACGATAGATAACGAACGGCAGTTTCTAATCCAGTGCAGTACCTCTACGCACCGTTCATCTTTGGATATTTGTAATACAAGGTAACTTAAAGCACTCATGAACTGCATTGAAATCCAATAGACAAAAAATAAGAACTTAAGACATTGTATTGAAATCATTTGGAAGCCTGAGACTGGTGAGTTTTTAATTTATCCAAAAAAAGAGACAACCACAAGCACTTTTTTTAAAAACTGCCATAGAACTTTTGTAATACGGGCTAATTTCGTTCGTGCGAGTTCGTCGCAAACAGAAGTGAACAGAAACGTTGAGCGAACACCAAAGCAGCTCTCACTTTGTAAAGATCAGGTTTAAGTTAGACCTTAAGAAATTATAGAATTCTCTCGCTCCTGATGTGTCGCACAGATGTTTGTTGTAATCCGAGTTAACAAACTGCCATCGAAAACAATCAGTGTCCCTCCTGCATATGTAATCAGCGACTGCAGTGGAGGAAGATAGATTAGCTTACCTCATACACAGCTGGCTAATTACCATCAAAGCACAGAGGTATTGCACCCACTCCCCTCATTGGCCTTTTACCTCTCCTAAGTCACCGCTTAAAAGGTCGCTTTGCCTTTTTTGGAATTCTTCAGATGTTTTGGAACTTACGTATACATGGCTGATCCCAACAATGCTGCTCGTCGCCCGCCAAATTGTCGTTCCAAAATCCCACCAATCAGCATGGCAAACGGCAAACCACCTAGAAAACAAAGAAAATATTTTTAAAAACTGGCTGAAAAAAGACGAAACGATGGACGGGCATGGTGTGGTGGTAAACACGTTACTTCCGGGAAGGATAATAGCGCGTTCGTTCCTCACTGCAGACACCTGCGATCCTGAGTTTTGCAAATATCTCAGCATCGCTGTGGTCGGTTTCGCACAATATCCTTCCATTAAAATTGTAGTAAACAGTAACTATAAAAAAATATATTTCGAAATATCTCAATCGATAGTTTTTGTCAGATTCCCATTTAAAAACATTTTTTCTTCTTGGTAACTGGTAGATAACAAGAAGTGAAAAAGAAATGGTAGACTTTAGCTTTCATTGGCTCTTTTTCGTATGCAAAGCGGACTCAGAATTTAGACTTATTTTTGCACCCTTGATTTAAAAAATTTTTACGAACATTTTTCCCTTGGCCCTAACGCAGCTAAACGAAAAACGGTCCCATTTCTTCATATTCATTATTTTTCCAAGAAATCTTAAGTAATATGTAAGAAGGTGGAAAAAAAAAACATTTTTTGAAAACTTTAAAAGAGTTTCGGCTTATCTTTGTGCTGTTTACCTAAGAAAGTCAACATAGTTATCTATACACCCAATTTACCCATGTACACTAGCATTTTCGTGCGGGCGTTTATTTGTAGATGACGACTAGATGGTGTCTACCACCATAGATGGAACGCGTGCTCATGAAAAGAACTCTATTAGACAGCCGCGTATGACTAAGATGTAATCCTGCACTTCTTGGCACCATTCATCGCTGTTAAACAGAGACGATACTATGTGACCACTTTACTCATTGATCCACAATGTAATGAATTTCAGCAACCTTTTAAGGAGAACTGTGGGATATAGCTATTCTGTAGCATTAACCAAGTTGCTATTATTGTCATCTTCAGAATAGTCATCTACGGAACAGAGAAATGCCGTACGGAAAAAAGAATGAAGGGCGACATTGGCGGGGCCATGAGGACCGCGGACGATAATCAAAGTGTACAATCTTGATCAACCCATTAGGGTTAAGCTATTGCAGTTTGGCTTGTTAAGTAACCCATCACCTAATGAATAAAAAATAAAAGGATAAAGCTCTCGGCGTTGATCAATCTCTGAAAGATGCGTCATGCATTCGAATTCACTAAGCATCGCTTGGAGGTGACTGAATGCATATCTGGTCTTTACAGTGACTCCTGGTGACCTAGCAATATCTCGAGTGAATGCTGTTATCCTCCCGCGCAAGTCTGGCACCAATTTGCCGATCCCGGAAGGATGGAAGGCTTGGTGAGCTTACGGCGAAGGGATCAATTCCATATGTATTGTAGTAGGCCTCCAACAACTGCGCTTCACGCACCCACCTCATGAATAGCGCGTAAAATTCCACTTTTCACAGGTGAGTCTGCTACGAACTGTCGAGTTTCACAAAAGGAATGAAAGGCCGTGGTTGTGAAAGTACTTGTAGCAAAAAACCATTATGTTACAAATACTATTAAGTAGAAAATCATACAAATAGGACAAATGCATCGGTAAAACCGGTTAGACTTGAGCTTTGCTAGAGAACTCCCGTGAACGATAGTATTTGTATAAGATAAACGTTAAAGAAACCTTAAGCCGAAAACTCTTAAAAGTAAGCAAAGAAATTGTAGAAGTATGTGCTCTTTCCATCCTCAGCTATGAAGTAGTTAAACCGTTTCAGTGGTTCACAAATCGTACACTATTCTGTATTGTTGTGGTGCACGCTTATTCAAAAGAACAATAAAACTGACAAGTATTCCATGGATCGTTAGCGATTTGATTACAAATCCACAGTTTTTTCTAGAACCTATAGAATAATGAACTGATGGAATATCAAATACTTACTTGACAACGTCTGTAACCATATTAAATGTCCAAATGTCATGTTTGGATCGCTCTTCCATCGAAAATACGACACCATATAAGGCAACAAATTTCCTGAAAGTTTTACTCTTATCGTGATTAGTATTGTTATTATTAAAAATAAGGAAAGGTTTGCTTAGAAGAAAAAAAAGGCTGAGTAGTCTAGTGCTACTGTATTAAAATGTATTAGATAGATTAAAAGTACTAAGATAGGTGTGCGCGAGTATGGTCGGAGGCGCTCTGCAATGCACACGCGGAATCGATCCCCACGCTCATAGCTCACCAAGCCTTTCATCCCTCCGGGGTCGGCAAATTGGAATCAAACTTCTCTGAGATGATAGCAGTACTGGCTCGATACATCAGTAAGACACCGCGAGTCATTGTAGAGGCCAGATATGCATTCAATCACCTTCAGCGATGCTTAGTGAAGTCGAATGCATGCAGCATCCATCCCTCAGGGATTGATCAACGTCGAGAGCTTTATTACTTTATCCTTTAAAAAAGGTTCAGTTTGATCACTTCTTCTAAAACTTTTTGCAATAGTTTTTATGTAAAAAATCCACAGAATTCTTCCGAATGATGCATGACAATTTAATCGAACCAGTAAATTTACAACTTGCTTGACGAGAAACTGTTTAGGTTTTCTTTTAAAATTCTGCACTTATGTATACAAGGGAGAGCGAAAGTCGTTAATGGCATCAACGCCTTATGTATATTTGGAAACTCTTGCTGATTCTCGATCACAACAATCGTTAGAAAGCTAAAGGATAAAGCGTTCGACATTGATCAATTCTTGAGCGGTGAGTCATGCATTCGCCTCCATTCATAGAATTACAGGGTGATTCAATGCACATTTGACTAACACAATAACTTGCGCTGGTTTGTCGATGTATCAAGGAAGTATTTTAGCCTCTCAGATACTTCTGACAGCAATTTACCTACCCTTAGGAGACAAAATGCTCAGTTAGCCGTGAGTGAGGGATTGAACCAATAGGTATTGCAAAGCGCCTCTAATCACTATTCTAGCCGCACTCCACAGCAATTAGTACCGTATTCGAATACTGCACATTGGTGGGTTTTACTTATAAAATGATATTTAGCCGCGGCTCAAAGACTTATATTTTCACGGAATTGTCTAATTTTTAATGGTCACTTGAAAAACAGTTGGCATGGCCTCACAGCTATCAAAACCACACGGGAGGTAGTGGTGGTTGTTCACCGTAAAAATCGAACGAACAAAATCTCATAAATTAAGGGCTTTATTGGCTGACGGTGCAGCGTCGCCTACAAGTGGTTACGAGTATTAGTTATATCCGAGGCGATACTCGGCGGGATAGCAGAGCCAACAACCGTATAAAAGGCCATCGACCAGTAAAATTCTCCATCGAGCGGTGTTCCTTCCACTGGATTCTACTCGAAGCGACAACGAACATCCACTTCGCGACAACCACCGGCTATGGGCCATCACTTCGGATCAACGCCGCTCTGAGGAAGGCGAAGGCGCTGAACGTCAGCCGAATACAAGTGCTCTACCAAACTCGTATCAGCTCAGTCATATAGGAAAATTATTAATGTTAACTCCATTCGAGGACATTCTTATAAAAAAATAAGGGCTGGTATTTAAAGACTTTATGCTTTAAACTCTTTGAAAAAGACGAAGAACTTAGTACGAACGGATTTTATTAAACAACCATTAAGTATATTGGATAAATATCTGAAAAACACAGATCAAGAAACGTCTGAGCGCTTCCAATCCCACGGGCCTCATTAAGAATAAGTCGCATCTGAATCACAAGATTTTCCCATCAACTCCAACTCGAATTGAGTAACAATAGTTTTTGCTTTTACTGGGCCAATTCTTGAAAATTCCCAGAAAATTTTAAACATAGCGCATGGTTTTAGTTAAAAGTTACGCAAGTAGAAGATGCGTCAATAAGAATCTTCGGCACGTGTCAAATTACCAAGAAAAAAAATCAATACTTACCGAATGTGTAGACAACACCAAAACTAAGCATGGCTATAAAACCGCCTATTAGTACGGTTGCCGATCGAGCTTCGGCCGGAATTCGCTTCAACACGATGTCATCAGTATGCATTTGGATATAGGATTAATATCGATCGATACTGAATCGAACAGAAGACGTTAATAAGTCATTAGATGCGCGTTTCAATCGATATCGTTCGCGCGACGAATGTGGACGACGAGAAATTAGTGGCTTTGTTAGTGCGACGTCAAGGGTCGGATGATATCGATAAACGGACGGAAGTCATCATTCAATCTTTCATCGCGAATAGTAGACATTCAACCTTTAACTGTATCAGCAATTGCAATAGCTACAACATTAAATGTAAATAACATTAATACTAATTACAACAAAGTACTTGGGGTAAGTACACTGGTAGACAAACATGCGGGACAGGCAAGGTAAGCGGCGAAACAGGCGCCGATAAGAGCTGAAAGAATCGCTATACTGGCAACATTTGCGAAAACACCTGAATACACAGGGCATTTATCATTTTTGTTTGTATCAGAGACCACAACAGCTTTATAACAGGACGCTGGTTGTTACGAGACTCGCAGAAGAAATGTAAACAAAACTGGACAAATAAATCTACAAGTTGAAGACTTGTTTGAATTTCAATGGAAATACTTCTGTAAGATGAGATTCGCAGTGTTGCGAATGATCGTTCACATTGTGCTCGATAAAGGATGTTGAATAAATCATACGGAGTTGATCAATCTCTTAGAGATGCGTCACACATTCCCTACATCAATCATAGGAATGGATATTTCGCCTACGCCGTATCTTGTGTAGGGAAAATGTTTTTCTTCTCCTGGGCAAGCCTTCCAAATTTGTGCGAATTTTCCACTTCGCGGAGTTTTGGTGCTTAGTTTGTCAGCAATACAGGATAGAACCTGTAGAGTTGTGTGTATTGCAGGGTTCTACTAACTACTGCGCCACACGCAGCCAGAACTTAAGCGAGCAAATCGGTGCTATAGTTTAATCTAGCAGAAGAACGAAAACGCGTTCGCTTGAATTTGTTTCATTTGTTGAAAATGCGATTTTTACATCTGTATCGAAGGTTTAGATTTAATTACATACTTCGAACAACAAGCATGGACCATCGACTCGGATCACCGGCTCTGAGGTAGACGAAGACGTCGAAACGTTAGCCGAAAATAAATATATTTATCAACCTCGTGCAAGCTTATCAAGAAATAATGCACATTGATTTAATTACAGTACATTCTTACAAGGACGGTTAGCTTGATTTTCACCAACAATGTCTATCCAGCTTCATTTGAGAATCTTGTGATATAGAGGGTAGTTCTTGGTCACAAAAACTTAATATTTCCAATATAAGAGCCTACAACTTAGCGAGATCGATAACACTCAACAAATAAGTGATCTAAGATAAATTAGGCTTATAATCATGGATATTATTCTAGATCCTTAATTTTCGGTAGGAACGTCCTCGTTGACATGCTTTATTTCAATCTCGAATAAGTGTACTTAAATAGAATCATTTGGGTCAAGCTGTGCAAGATTCTGTCGCTTCCCCGGACACGGCCGCTCATTCGACAACGTACAATAATAGCTGTTATAAGGCAATGTTATAAGAATTTAGGCAGCAACAGGAACAGCAGCACCAAGCGGTACATCGGCAACAACATCAGCAACAGCAACATCAACAGCACAAACAACAACAATTTTTTCACTTATGAAGCTTTGCTAACTGTTTCTTTTCCAATCTCCACAATCTCCTTTGTCATATTTTACCTTTCTTGTTGAAATGCTTTCAATAAACTTCTTTTCGTCGTCATTCGTCGTGGTCTTTTATTTTTACGGTTCTCGCATCTTGTCGTCAAAGATTTTTATCGAATCCATGACTACATTTCAACACGATAGCAACAATGCATCAGCATATTAATTGAGATACATAAAATCTTTTGTAGTCGCCGTGAAGAATATTCTGAATACGTTCGTTCACGTCTTTACGTCTTCGTCAACATTACTCTTTCACATCGGTCGTCTTCCCACATACTTTTGCTCTCTAAAACAACTTCGTTTTTTAAAACCGAAATTATAGTGCGAATTACAAGATGTCAAGCTAAGATATTAAACCTTTCTATTATTCCAACCTTTCTATGAAGATAAACTATTGCAAGCCAAGGGCGCGTGTGGCGCCGTGGTCGGACGAGCCCTGCAACACACACGTGGAATCTATCCCCGCGCCCACGACCCACCAAGCCTTCCATCCCTCAGAGGTCGGCAAATTGCTACCAAACTTACCTGGGAGGTTAGCAGCGCTGGCTCAATAGATCGGCAGGCCACCGCGAGTCACTGTAAAGGCCAGATATGCATTCAACCACCTCCAACCGATGTTTAATGAAGTAGAATGCATGGCGCATCCCTTATGGATTTATCAACGCTGAGAGCTTTATCTTTTTTTATTGTAAGCTATTTATTTGAGATTGTTAGACAGCTTCCTTTCAACGGTTTACCACCTCATCGTGGTTGGGTGGTGTTCCTGGGTGACGGACTGCAATGTACAGCGAGGGAATTCGTTCCCACGGCAGGGTCTTCCAAGTTGAGGAATCCGGCGTTGCCATCAGGAAACTTAGCCAAGAGTATACCAATACCAGGGTTAACCACCGCTCTGGTATCAAAGTTCCATGGTGGCAAATCTCTCTCTGATCCACAAGGGTTGCGGCTGCATGTCGTGGTGACGACCCGGGGCAGGCTTTGGCCAAGCTGTCCTCGAGATTCCAGGAAACCACAATGGCTTAAATAGCAAATCTCCAATAAATGGTGATTATGCTATGGCCCCGCACAACTAGTGAGGACGGGCCGTTCAAGTATCAAGTATCAAGCAAGCAAGTTAGAAAAGTTAGTAATCGATTCTGGTGAAGTTATAGTACAGTTGGAATCTAAGCAAATTTTCTCACACACTGACAGTCGGGAACTCCTCACTACACTTCATGGTAACTAACCACAAGTTACGTTTGTTTTCCTATGATTTTCGATGGTGACTTAAAAAATCTTCCTTCATACTTTAAAAAAATAAAAACGAAAATGAAATAAAAATTCCCAACTTCCAGCTTCAAGATTAGAATCCAAAACAAAAACCTTTAGGTGGAAGAAAAACGTATTTCAATTAGTTCATAGTATTTTAATGATTAATGAGAAAATCACTGCTCTTATGTTGAATTCATTTCAGTTGAGTGTTTTTTTTTAATATGATATGAGTTGGAGATTGTCAGCAAAACAAGGAAACTGTATTTGTAAATACTGTAGTGGAGATGATGTTGATTTCTAAAGAATGCTCTGGTAAAATAAACAGTATGAAATTATGAAAAGTAGAAGGACCAAAGGCACTTAAACCAATTCCACGTAGTCAGTTGGCTTTTCATGCTGTTTTTTTTTCTTTCTTTGATTCCTTTTTCATTGAAACAGCATTCACTGGACAACAAATGTGAAGCCGAACGTTGAAAAAAGTAGGGTTGAAGTAAATATATGTCATCTTTCATGGATGTAAATACTGATTTATTTCAGCAACAATATTGCTTTATTCATTAGTTTAAGACAAACACACTTCCCTCAGAATCAATTCATATCCGCGTTGGAATGATGTCGAACACTACTACCGTATCTCCCTATATTCTCTCTCACCTCCTATATGTTCTAATGAATGAAGGACAATTCATTTGCGTATGATGATCGTCGTTGTCGTCGTCATGGGACGAGCTGATGTGGTGGAGGCGTCATCGGTGTGGTGCTTCTGGATACTGTAGGAGCGCTCATTGCATCAGGGGAGTTGATCTCATCAAATAAATATGTGAGCACCCAATACATGCGAGATTACCTGGCTAGGGTGAAGGCAATCACACAAATACATACACACGGACAGACACACACCCATCACACAAACACCCTCTACGCCTCACAGCAACGCACAATGCCTAGCGTTAGCCTTACTCATCAATTCTCGAGTACCGTTGATTGGATAGGTTACTGCGGGAGTCCGACGTACGTCAGGCACACATTCGCCAACACCACACATCTATTCTTGATGACCATGGCAACGAATGAACACACACCGCCAAATACGCAGACACACAGACATATATATATATATATGTATGTATATATATACGTGTATATGCATATATATATATATATGTACTTACATTTCAGCACAAATAGAGCTGACGAGCCGAATAAACAATTAACTGCTATCTGAGATCCATCACATCATGTAGCCCTTGGCATTTGCGCTGGATTAATAGCTCATCGTGTAGGTGAAACGCTCACAGCATCTGCAGCTACTCTGATTGAGGTTATAATGTATGAATTCGGCAGAGTAGAGTCTTCTATCGAACAGTCGCTAATAACTATCTAAATACGAGGACCACTTGAGTATCTACTTCGTCAAGAGAAAGTGTAATGAATCCTTCTCGTATTCTTTTCACCAAAATATCTATGAAGAGTTAACGCCGTGGCAATTTCCATGGTCTTCTGTGATTTCATGAACATAGAAGTCATCGACTCCCCGAAACCAGTGAAAATTAGTGCCATTCCTTTCGTTCTCTTATGCATAACGTGCGAAATCCTAGTATTAAACCTCTTCTATCGAAATGCAAAGCAGAGGAGAAAATGAAACTTAGCTTATTAGGCTGATGTTGAAATTACTGAAGACAACTGCCTTACAATTCTCTCGGAAACTCATTTAATGAGAACAGCATTTCAATGATTATCTTGGACCGAAGATGAGACTACTCCGATGGATTTTGGTGTCTCCATGTTAACAATGTATGTTAGGAGATCAGAAATAAAGGGGATATCAAATACTCTGTCAAGAACATACCAATTAACTAATGAGATGAATAATGTAAATACTAAATGTAAACTCACGGTCCGTGATGAAACTTTCACGTGGTACCACATGACTTTCGCAGGAATTTTAAGCTATCGAAGAAATCAGACAAGAACTGATAATGTCCAATGTTAGGAAGAAAGAGTGGTTTTATAATGTTTCTAAGAATATTTTAAGAAAAAGCGGAAATTTCAGCGACTTTTTAGTGGGCTCTCGTAATACAGTTTTCTTCCTTTATGATACAAACGAACTATAAAAGCAGAGAAAGCAAGAGCTGGGAAGTGATTACGTTATTTATTTACTTAGTCAACACTGTGATAAAGGACGATTTAAAAACTCTAAAAAAATATTAAGCTATTTGATCACAATAGTTATATGACTGATTTCACGGATAGAGCTTAGATTCCCTCAAGATTTCAGATAATTTTACAAAGCAATTAGTTCGTGACATAAGAGAGTTCCTCCATCAATTTTTTTCCACGTAGTCTCTAGTGCTGAGAAATTTTCTAGAAGAGCTCTAACAACTAACGGAAGCCTTTTATAACTAAATAAATATTTGATAGAATATGGAAAGCTAGCTGAATTGAAAATAAAAGTAGCCAATGATTTGGAAGGCAGGTACTGGCAGGTAAATGATATGGCAAGTAGGTGATATTAAATAATAGAAGATAATAAGGTTTATAAATGTCAGCTATCTTAGAGTACGAAAGTGATTTCAGATTGCCTCATTCAACCACCCACAACCTATACATGCATACAATTACACAGATATACAGGCATGCAGACATACACACATTAACCGATGTGCACAAACCAACATGCATACATGTATGTGTACGGACGTTCATACGTACATATAAATGTATATACCACACACAAATCCACAAGCACATACACTTACATACACACATATACACACACATACACACACGCACAATGGTATTTCTTGGCGTAATTGTTCGTTTTGTCAGTTCTTGCCATATCTTGCTGGTGTGTATAATTCTTTTCTCCGAATGGCGCTGGAATGTTTGAGTTGTCGAGATGAAACCAGCGATCCTGCTCTCAACCACCATACACGATCCCATTCTTCAACCGTAATCACTGCGACAAATACGAACCGCACTCATCTCTACGAAAGTCGACTCCAATAACTTCATCGACGAGTCGATTCGTAAAATCGATTGGCACCAGTTGTGTTTGGTAGAAAACTACAAATACTTCATTTACATTAGCATTTATTACGTAATAAAGTTATCACAAGCAGAATCTGTTGACTTGGACACTTAAGTAGATGCAGACTTCTTGAATCTAAAGTGAAATCATAAATGTTGAAACGCCTTCCGCTGCTAATATAGAACAAGAAAGTTAACGCATTGTATCATGTTCATGTCATTACATTTTTGAATTCCGAGAACTTCTCTTTTACAAATCCACTTGCGAAAGCCTGCAAACGCATCAATTTGCTTCTACAATATTTATTTTTGATCTAACAAAATATCCGGTAGTCCAGTGAGAGCGATGCCGGTCGTCACGAGCGTAGTCCTCGTTCGAACCCTTTAAAGCCTCACTAGGACTTGCATCCTTTCATGGTGGGGAATTTGGTATCAGGCTTGTCTAGGGATAGTCCACTCTGTGCAATCCAGTTGCGACCGCTCTAGCTCGGTTCTCTCAGGGCATGAGAGACTTGACCACCACACAGAACATTTATAGTAAAGGTAACAGTCCACAAGCTGCAACTAAACCCAGGTGTGAAAGGTTGGCACACCCTCATGGTTGATGGACGCGAGAAAACGTACATGTGAAGGATGGGTCGTGTGAAAGTTGTTCAAAAAAATATAACAAGGCCTAAAAGTAGTACCTAAAACGTAGTTTTCATAATCGTGCTAGCTGTAATCTTCGTCTAATGGTATAAACAAGAAATGGTGAAGATTGTCCTACATCTAAGCACCTTCTATTGCAAACATTTCTATAGGAATCCTACCATTTAGGTCTTTCATTCAATTTCGAAGTCATATGAAGCTTTGACTACACCGTCGACAGAAGCCAATTCAACTTTTCGTTTGAATTCATTTCATTTACTAACGCTTAAGAAAATCGTAGCAAAATTGATTTGCAGATTGCCGGACGCGTTTGCCGTTCGACGAATATGTCCCGTCTGTCACGATGGCGCTTTTGGAAGATGTGGGCGTGGTCACAGGATGGGGGAGGAGCTGTCAACTATCACCTGTCCTCATTTGGCCTCCTAATCCTTATTGCCAAATCACGTCTTGACCTCGGCTGAGTTCATCATGCAATTATAGAGCTTTTCAGAGATTTCAACGTTCATTCTGTTCATTTCATCTTTTCACATATTTCTTGATAATAAAAAAACCTTAAAATAACTTGAATCCATAAGGAATATCGACAGAGTAGAGAAATCTCTGAAAATTCGAGCGTTTCTCATAAATTTCAGAGAAACTCGAACATTTCGTTCGCAGCTTGCGTAAGAAAATTCCAGTTTTATTCTACATTCTTTCATATTCATGGGATTCATAGAGAAGCTAACAACGTGTACACGTGTTCACTTTCTTCCTCCAGGTTCGCTAGTCATACTCCAGCAAAATGTGCTCTGTGAGTAATTTCCCATAATTTCCCGTCCAATTGTGCACGTTGGTCTTTTCTCTCGATTTTCGTGACAAAGATTCAACTCTTCATGCTTCTCAGTCTCGTTGTTCACCACAAATTCGATTCAAATCTGCACGGAATTTTACCTCGAATCGTAGTGAAATTGAGAGCTGTGCTCTGTTCGAACGTTTTCCGACTATTCATTGCCAGTCAGTTGAGCGAGCACCTTCACAGCGGAGAATCCTCGAAATGTATATTCGACTGTTTATTGACAAATATTGGTCCTTCAATTAGACACGGGTTTATGTGATAGATTTCGGCAGTGAAGTCGTTTTTACCTTGTCGAAGTTTCTGTTAAATAGTTGGTATTTTTGGCATAGAACCACATTCTGTTCTTAGTGTAATGCTCAGAAGGTCCTTTATGTCCTAAAGCTTTCATTTCTTTTCTGCCTAGTCTTTTTAACTATTTTCACGTAAGATTCATTTTCTGAAAATAGAAACAGTTCGTGTAGAGTTTATTTAAAAGACTGTTGCATCACACCACTAATTGGTTAATTTCTAAGCAACCAGGCTTTCCATAATAAAGTCACTACTCCTAGTCACATATATTTTATTCCTCTATTTCTTAACGCACGTCTAAGAAGGTCTGAACCAAAATATCACATAAACTGCTCGTGTCATCGTCGGCGCTACCGTATAACGTCAATGAGGCGCATCCCTGACAGGTCTTCGTGCTGTTGTGGCACCGCCCTCACGAGCTGATTGGCTAACGTGGCGCGTCGGGGTGTGGCCGTGACGTGAGCGGCGTTCATCCCTCAAGCATCATCTCACCGCTTTAGGGATCCTCAACGCTACCGTAACCATGAGCATCGACGGCGAATTTCTGCGCAACGTCGAGGTAAAAACGGACGAGATGTTCGGTAATTCCCTGAACGCACTTTCTATCATTCGATCCGGAAAACTGATCGGAATTATTGATAAGGTTGGTGGAATCGATTTGCCATAGCCTGTTTAAGTTTTACTAACTTTAAAACGCTTAGCTGTTATGAATAAGCGTTTCGTTTTGTAGGAGGCTACGAATGATCCGAACGCACTGCTTATTCTGAATCTCATTAAGGAAGCCGATGATAGAAATCAAGCCAATATCACTCTAAGGCAAATCGATAATCGAGTGAGTGTAGTGATTCGTGAGAGCTTAATAATAAACATAGAAATGAATCGACACCGAAATGGAGAACACAAAACTCTGTTCTAAATTTTTTTATGTCTATGACAAAATACAATTACATTTATTTATAGATCGCCAATGTGAGTTAAGCAACAACGATTAGTTTTAATTTTTCCCCTAGGGAATTTAGTTTTTCGATTAATAGGTCTTATGTCCTCATGGGTTGTCGACCGCAGAGAGAACACCGCACATTTCTAAGGAGTTTAAAAAACAGCCGTAATTAGTCGGAACGTTAGCCGAATAAACATCGTTATCAGCCTCGTGTAAGCTCATCAACATAAGGACATGTTGACTATTTTACCACCGAGGTTGAACGACCTAAACTTAGTCTGAAGACCGTCCACAATTATGTTTCTAGCCATTTCAAAAAAACCTTTCATATGAAAATTATAATCATGGTGCACCCATCTTCTTTGCCAAGCTCTATTTTATGCAATATTTGAACAGTATGTCTTTCCAATTCAGACGTATCTACAAACGTCACGAGACATCGCTTCTGGTGAACGCCTTTTGATGCAACGCTACCGGGAGAACGTTACAGAAGATGAGGAGGATAATAACGAAGAAGATGATGAAGTACCAGATGATGAAGAGGAAGCGAAGAAGGTGAAACGGTTAGTGCTACATGTTCTCCTTACTTTCTTCGATGATTTTTGGTTAAGCACGACTCGATACAATGAAATCAGAGGAACGTTCTTCATAGGATTTTCACTTTCATCACTCTTCTAGTATTTGTTCACTCGTACCCTGCTTCTCTAATACTCTCGCAAAACAATCCTTACTAGAGCCACCCACATAGCCATCTAGTTGTTATTTCATAAACAGCAACTATACGTGTTTTCATCGTACGTGTTCTACTGACCTCAATTACGACACAAGGAAAGCGAAATCTCATAGTCATACAAATCAGCCGTACATTCACCAACATCCTAACGTTCATCATCTCCGAATAGTTTCATTTTTGGTGACGATCCACTGATCGGTTTACACCGTGATCATCTCCTCGAGTTGTCTTTCTACATTCCTGCTTATAATGTGAATTGTCAGCTTCGTCTTCTGAATCGTTTGCAAGCTTATATGACTTCTCGCTGACTTTTGCCCGCCCTTCTCGCTGTATTACTCTTCCTTGGATATTAGTTTTCGTTATATCAGAAATATAACGCTGTTCAACATAACCCAACGAAAGCTTGCTTGTATTTTGAGTAACGAAAACGTACATAGCTATTGTCAGAGCAAGGCTTAAAAGATGTTCGTTTTCGTTCCGTTTCCGTTTTCGTTTAAAAGTCTATTCCATTACATTTCTCATCATGAAAATTTCCTGAATTTAATAGCAGTATTCCTTTCTTGTTAGGCTCAGTCCTGAACACTCAGTCGCTTGTCAACAACCTAGAGAACACGGTGAACTTGAGCCAGGTCAGCTAGTTCCTGAAGGCCAAGCGCACAAGTGTCAACTGTGTCCGAAGAGTTTTTCGAGTGCGAGGTGAGCAATCGCTGTTTGTATTAATAAGAGAGGCTTTCAAAAATATTAAACTGACGTTAATGTGACTTGGTGTAACTTTAACAGAGGTTATTCTTGCATATAAAAATATTGAGCAGCCATAGTAAACGGCGATTGTAATGAAATTCAGAACCGACTTACATTGTTTTATGCCCACTTAACGATGTGTTTCGTTAAGATATCTGCACGAGATTTCTCTGAATACTTTACAAAACTTCCCAGACTTTCTTACCAAACACGAATACAATCAATGTACAATATCTTCTTCGAGGAGTCTTGAAAGTATCATCACATCTTTCATGAACCGATTGTCGTTTTCCACCTGTCAACTGAGATAAGCCAACAGTGCATCCTCTTCGTTTGCTTAGTGAAGAGTAGCAGCTGTCTTGAGAAAATACGGTAACGTGAAAAGCGATACGGCTGAGGAGTGTCCTCAGGTGCTGGGATGCATTAGCTCGTATGTGCATGTTTGTTCAGCGCCTCTCTTAATGGCACATCTCCATATCTCTGCTCTTCGTTTCATTCATACAAGCTCTGTTTCTACACTAACGGACCACTTCTACAATTTTTTCACTTTAAAATTTCTCTTCACAGCATTTCAATGCTCCAAACACGATTTGAGAATTTGGTCACTTTTCAGCGGTCTCAAGCAACACTCACACATTCACTGCAGCTCGAAACCATTTCGTTGTCATATCTGTAACAAAGCCTATACGCAATTTTCAAATCTCTGCAGGCATCGACGAATTCACCTTGTAAGACCTGATTTCTTTTTTCTCGGAGCAGCACCATGCATCTAGTGGAGGATATCTGATTTTTAGGATGGCTGGCAGTGTCCGTTGTGCCAACAGTCTTTGCCATCTCATAGTGCTCTTGTAAAACATCGACCGTTGTGTGAAATGGCATCCGCGCTCTATAAACCATTGATTCCTCACTTGCCCGTTCCAAGCATCTCTACTCAGATTGCTTCCACGTATTGGCCTCATTTATTGCATATGGCGTCTCAGGTAAGTTTTAAGTCAATAACGTACTACATCATGCCTTCCAAATAATGATCGTCGTTCAAGATGCCTTCAATTCCAATGGGTATGTATGGACAAATGGATGCGTATAAAATGTTCAATCCCAGCTCAGATGTCGAAAGTTCGCCACAGTCAAGGTTAGTTTCGTCTAAACAGCTTCTGTGACTCTGGTGCCGAAATTATTGGTCTTTCTAAGATCTGCTTAGACCTCTACCTTCCATTTCAAGAGCACCACTTCCACTTTCTCAAACTTCAGCAAAACATAAAATAAATCCGTTTAAAATTTTCCAAGATCTAAATCGCAGATTGAAAGGCTTGTTTTCTTTTAGTGGGCACACAAGTGAGCACTCATCGTTTGAACGAAAGGGAAGCCCATATTCAGAGGCTGAGGCGAGCCCACTGGATCTGACCACAAAAAGGGTGGAACGTAAATCTGAAAGCGAAAGCAGTGATTCTGGCAACGAAGACGAAAATGAAGTCTCGTCATTAACGAAGCGAACAGAATCTGCTGGACCCTGCCTGGCTCCAGCAATGAATCCATTTAGGTTAGTTTTGTTTATTTCGTAACGGTGAGATTTTCTTTAGCAAATCATAACTTTTGGTATCTAAGAAAAAGTGGTTTTAGTACCAAAAGACATCTGTGCAGTAGTAGTCCGTCCAAAAAATATAAGACTGAAGTTTTTAACTTTTCAATCAATCACGCTTATGGTCAATGAATGCCGTAAATGATTACAAATTACAATCGCATAGGTGAAGTGCCGCGATATTTCCTATCTCTGATGTCTTCGTTTGCTTTTTTTTCACCGTATTAAAGAAAAAGCAAAAATAAAAAATCTGAATTCAGTTCATCAGCCTTTCTTTCCTTGTTACAACGGCCTTTCCCCTATTCGAACCCGTCATCATTCGCCGTCGCCTCGCAAGTCTCTAAAACAACCAAGGACCGCTATACTTGTAAATTTTGCCAAAAGGTCAGCTTGCAGAACCCTTAAGAGCTCCCAAAGAACTAGACAATGGCCTCCATGATTCAAGACTTCCTCTTAAGGTTTTTCCTCGTTCGGCAAACCTAACCCGCCACCTTAGGACGCACACCGGTGAGCAGCCATATAAGGTCGGTCAATATAATTCGAAGGATGGTTTATCTTTGAATACCACAAGAAACCAACCAAATTACTTGCGTAGCGATACTATGACAATTATTACATTCGTCTTGACGTAAAGACCTATTAAATTGCCTTCTGTCCTCAGATGATCATAATTCACAGAACTTCAGTGTCAGTACTGTGAACGATCCTTCTCGATTAGTTCGAACCTACAACGACATGTGCGCAACATTCACAATAAGGTGTGATCGACATTACTATTTCCGTAACTATCTAAAAACTCGTGCTTCTATTGTTCCAGGAACGACCATTTCGTTGCCCACGATGCGATCGGTGTTTCGGACAGCAAACGAATCTCGACCGACATCTGAAAAAGCATGACGCCAGTCCCGATCTCCCACTTACCACTATGCTCAAAATTTAGATAAAAGAGCAGCTCTCCTCCACTTCTTCTACGATTCAAAAAGAGGAAAACGAAAGTGTAGTTTTCTATTGATTCGCTGCTGTCCTATTTCAGGTTACAATGTGATATGCAGTCGAGGGAAAAATGCATTATATATGTAATGACTTCATTGTAATACCAATTAAAAATGATTTATTTGCGTCTGTTAAACAACACCATTAAATCCTAGCTTGACACAACCGTAGATACCACATTTCGCTTCTTCGAGTCTGTTTTTCTTTCAACAATTAACACACTGACGTTAGTGACCTTGTAACGAAAACCACTACAACATATGGCAAGATTCATCAATTCGAATCTACCTGCAAGTGATTGAGCCACGATTTGGGGAGGGGCACCTGTTGTCGTTAATTGGTTCCGGAGAGACAATGCACCATGGGCGAAGAGCGGAAGTGAGTCTCCTCAGGGTCGCTTAACGACTGCCTCCTCTCGAAGACGACGACTATATGACAAAACTCGTGCATGGAAGAGAATTCAGATTCTTATTATGAAGTTATTGACACGTAAATCATAAAGCTGTGAGAATAAAATTGAAAAAAGTAGAACGTCTGACAGTTAGAAGAAAGAAATTCAGATCGCATCTATTTTCTTAAGAGTGCCATCGCGACTAATTTGCGAATAAATTTGTTGCACTACAGCTTCAACCGCTTCCCTATCTTCATCAGCATTAATGATCTGCAAATATATTATTCTGTCTCCACTATTTAGAAAACAATACAAGTTGTTACATACTTGCCAATAGTTCTTCCTCAACTGTTTCATAGCAGAGTACACTTTTTGCTGCAACTGATCATTTTCAAGACGTTCATCACCGTATCCACCTCGTTGTTGTGCAATTTGCGGTGAAACTTCGAAGAAAAGTACAACATCAGGACATGGCAGGCCAACGTCAGCTTGTCTCACCCAATGTGGATCTAGTCCTAGAAATTCATCACAATTATACCCCGTTCCTATCAAGAACCCATAGACGACTGCAGGAAACTTAAAATTTGGAACTCCGGTATGAAGCTAAATTCTAGTCCGTCTGGTGTGATTCATCAAGAAAAAGTACGGTATAAAAACTTCACTACTCCTCTACAAATCACGCTGAACTACATCTTATTTCAATATGATCTCAATCTATATGTAGTATAAAAAATACTATTTGGAGATCCTAACCTAAAATGAAATCCTTAACAATACTTAAACCACAGAAAATCAGATCGCTACTGTGATCAAATGCTTCTATGAAAGCAACACATCATGAATGGATCTTCAATTCCGAATCAGGCAATTACTCCAGACTGCGCTTGGTTTTCTAGAATCTACGACAGTAATCTGAGCAAGGATTTCTCCATATTGCTTCTTAATCGCAACGTTACATCGCAGATGTTTTCCAATTAGAAGCTAATAACAACATAAGAGGCAATAATTCGTCGATATCTTTCTGTCGACTCTTAGGACTCCGGAAAGAGCTTATGGAAGCGACCAATTCCAACACATCAACCGGATGCCAGTGTTATTGGCAATGGCCGTCTTAGGCCATATTCAACTACCGTATTCCGTGCATGAGTGTGTGAGGCTTTCTCGTCGCTGTGACGGCAAGATCCAATTGATGTACCACGCTTCAGCACCTACTGCCACTAGGTGGACACCAATTTCCTTACGCAACAGGTCTGTTTACACTCAATTACCAACCAGCCGAACCGACCACCACGTTGATGTGCACTATGCACTTTACTTTCGGCTTCACTGCCTTCAATGTAGGTAGTCATGCCTAACTAAGTTAAATCGCTATTATCATCACCACATACTCAAAGCAACACCGCTCGTCCGTGAATCATATCATAAATTCACCTTATGTAGTGCTTGTCGGCACCTGCCTATAATAAATCATGTACTAAATTTACTCATTAATGAAATATCCCTAATTGGCAAATACACTAAAAAACGTATCCTTTGACCTTCTCTTTAGTGGTTAGCACAATTTGGTAGGACCTTTGGAAAACAAAAATAAACCTCGCGTTTCAGTTTCGATCCACATCCAATATATACAAGAGAGATTCTCAGAAAAGACTACCACATCAGTTAAAAACCTCCTGGTTTCTATAACCCGCAGCCAATAATACAAAACACACTGTGGTTTTCTAGAACTAGCAATTTAATTAAGGTCAAAATCTTCTTAGCAAACTCATTACCGAAAACTTAGATGTACAACCAAGACTAAACAGAAGATCATTCATAGGTATTAATGCTGCCACTTAGAAGAACTTCGATAATGATTTGCTTTGCTTTCTGGCAGTTACTGTATTCTAAGACAACAGGGATAATTCGTCATATCTGAGATATATGAATATCACTCTTACAATACTGTAAGTCTGATAGATGTGCTGCCTAAATTCGGCGGAAAGAACATGGCACTAACTTATGGGCACAAAGCGGCACCAATGTGGCAAGCACAAGAGAGTTTGACAATGAGAAAGTGCGCTCGCCCAATCGCTTCCTTCCTTCCGCAATCTTCTCTCCATCATAAGCTGAGCGACTCTAATCGTCCTCTCCGCTCTCTGCTGTCGTCCCACACCCAACACACCTACTGCATATCCCCATCCCACAATGCACATCATCGGATCGATCATAAGAAATACTCGACGAATAAGAGACACGTTTAGCGCCGCTAACCATTGTCGTTGAACACATCTGTGAGGAAAACGTGGAAAAGACAGAAGTAAAAGGGAAAGTCGACTGTGATGGTTAAGAAAAAACAGGTTCATCTACAGTAAAAGTTTGTATCCTAGACATAACTGTTATAGGGTCGGTAACTGCAGACATAGCAGAATGGTTATGATGTAAATCTAAACTTCCTACACAATTGTGCCGCCACACTTCCTTTAGATTTGTACCATTTGCTGATTCATTGGATCCATCCTTGCTCTGCAGGGTAATGTTCCGGCCTACTACTTAAATTCTACAATGCACCGTGCTCTTCAAAAGAATAGACCTACAAAACAAAACCTGTAGGATGATGAAGATTTGCCTTGACCGAAGTGAGTGGTACTCATTCTAGTGGTGGTGATTGTTGCACCTAACTGCAGACAAATTTCCCATTTTTCTACATTCAGCACCACATATTATGCAGATCCCAGCACTCGTTGCATTCGTCCAATCTTGCGACTGAATCCAGCTACTGCCTGAAGATTTCTGGTCATGCAGAACGTCGTTGGATGTTGGTTGAGTCAATTCTGCATGGAATCAGAGATAGTCCTGCAAGGTGTTACAACAACTTCATCACTGGCAGTCGCCAAATTTTGTCGATTGTAGAAATACAACCGATATTAGACAATTTCCCAACCTCGGAGTAACGTCGAGCTTGGTTTTCTAGATGCAGAGTGGAAACAGGAGCTTGTGCGCACTAAACGGTATCACCACAACTGCGCAACTCACACCGCTTTTTTCTCACTAAGCAAAAAAATACTCCCATGAATGCGAAGGAGAGAGACCTTCTAAACTCACTAATACTTAGAAAAAAAAACAATAGGAATGCGTCCACTCCAAGACCAAAACAAATAAGAGATTCCACCCAATAGCTAATTACAAACTTCCGTAGCATTCTCCATCCACTATACTGCTTATTCTCTCGCTCTTTCTTTTTTCATAACAGGATACCATGCAAAATATAACCACAAGAACGCTCAGATATGAGCGAAACTCGTAACGTCAGCTGGGCATCGAACACTCGATTACCCTCATGGGGTGTCCACGCGCTATCCATCAGACCGATAGCCCTTGCCTTGCCTTTCTCTCAGCCAAGTTTCTACTCTGCCGGTGCTACCAGCAATAATTCATCAACGATAATGATCTGGGGAGCAAAAATCTATATCGTCCTTTGTAGTACGTTTTCAACACGTATTAAAAGACCCATTTTCTTCGGTCTTTCATTGTTTCTTCCTTAGCGAAAGATGAGAAGCAACTCGTTATTGCTGTAACTAAAAGTCCCATAAGACGTACAACAATACGTACTCTGAAATGTTTCTTTACTTAACTTAGTGCGTACAACTCTGAAGATGGATAATTAATCCACACATTCTCAAATCCTATGAACCGTACTTGGCTAAAAGAGTTACCCACAAATCAATACTTTACAGCCTCACCAATACCATGTTGTTCGATATGTCTAACAGCTGTATATAGCAGTCACTACCCAGCAGTGCCCCAAAACTAACACAGCGTCCGAAATTTCTACCTGCGAGGCCGTCCAGCCATAAATTGTACCTACTTTCTTGCATAAATAAAAGGTAATGCGCTCAACGTTGATCAATCTCTGAGGGATGTACCATGCATTCGACTTCAACACTAAGCATTGTTTGAAGGTTAATGAATGCACATCTGGCCTTCACAAAGTATGGTACTAATTTGCAAACCTCGGAAGGATGAAAGGCTTGGTGGACCACGGGCACGGGTATCGTTCCTATGTTTGTGGCAGGGTACCTGCGTCCACCCCGCCATAAGCGTCTCTTTATAAATAATGTTGTACATAGAAAAAGGGATAGAAAATATAAAAATAGAGGAAAAACAAACATAGAGTGTTGTTGTCCTCGTTCCTTTTGAACGAGCAGAAAAAACTCATAGGCTCCGTTGCCTAGTGAGAACAAATGAAGTCTATTAAAATGTGCCCAAATTGCTTGACGATTAAAGAGATCATTGTTTACATAGGTGACATTCACCCCAAAAAACTACAAAAGGAAAAAAATCAACCTTTGGCTAAGGAATACGCGACTCCGCTGAAACAGTATCGGTCACAAATAACATCGACTCCGGAGGATATCTCCTCTTCTATCAATGCCGCCTTAAAATCACTGATAATGAAACCCGCACAATACAAGCTTTACAGAAGTCCCGCACCTTCTCCCATCTATTCGCTGAAAATGCTAAGTGCAGCGCTCGCTCCGATAAATCGATCTCCTTCCGCAGGTAACGATCGATTACCTGACCAAAAGGTTCTTTTCTATCTGTAACTGTGAACACTCAAACAATTTAAATACCAAGGAAGTCATCTCTATGTACAGCTTCTCATCAACAGGATGCCCTAGGCCTGAAAACTAACCGGGGAACGACAGCAGCACTGACTTGCCTCCCGAAAGGTTGATTTTTTCATGAAGCCGCTTAGCCTGAGTTGTCTTTCCGCTGCGATCTAGTCCTTCGAACACTATGAATGCACCTCTACGAGACATGCCCTAGTACTTCCTCATTTATTTTCATCAAATATACCAATAAGGAATGAAGCAGTATCATAGATAACCCACGGTTCTTTGGAATAAGGGTTTTTTCAAGTGTATATAAAAACTTTATTCACGAAATTTATAACTATTACTAGACCCCTCTAGTTACAAGTAAACACATCCAGGCTACCAATGGTATATAGTCTTCTGCATATCCAGGTATCGGTGCGCCTTAAACAGCCAGTTCAGAAACGAAAACATGAAGATGAAGCGGAACAAGGTCTTCACCTTAACATGAAAATTGAAGCTTACATCAAGTTACATACCATAAAGAAGAGAAAACAACTCACAACACTTCCGTATACCGGTCCTGAGTAGTAGTTGTGATGTACTCTCCAGATATTCCTCATGACTTCATTGTAAAATGCAGATGGAGTTTTTTCACGACGACCAATCCATGCCGGAAGATCGGTAAGTTTCACATCAAAAAGTTTCGTATCGACTGGAACCATAACAGTAAATTACAAATGGCTAAACAAAACCACAACTCTGCATTTTCTCATTTAGAAACTGAACATTACACAACTTGCCAGATCGGCTAACAGTCCCAACGTCAAGCGGACTTAGACAAAGGTTTAGCGCCTCATCGTGGCTGGGAGGTATTCCTGGGTGTCGGCTTGCTTTGCACAGTGGAGGGATATATCCCCTTAGTAGGGTCTTTCAAGCTGAAGAATCCGGCGTTTCCATCTTGAAGCCCAGCTAACAGTAAGCCAATACCAGGATCCACCACTATTCTGTTGCAAAACTAGTTGCATAATGGCAAATCCCCCTTTGATCCACAGAAGCGGCAACTGTCTGTGGTGGTGACGACGTGGGGCAGAGCTCGGAACTCCACAGACCACAGTGACTAAACCATCAAAACTCCGAAAAAATGGAGATTATGCTGGTGCCCACAAAACCAATGAGCATGGACCATCCAAGCATCCAAGTAAGTAAATTACGTAACGGGAAGTCAGGCTCATACCGCTGATAAAAAAGAAACAATAGGGCAGCAGATGCCTTAGTTACCATGATCGCACAGATTGCAGACAAAATGATAAAATTACTATTACGATAAGAACACTTCAACGAAAAATTAAATATACAGATCACCATTACACCGCACATCACAACTACAAATCCAGAATCTAGAAAATAGAAACTAACACATTACAGTCGACGATCCAAATACCAACATGTCTGGGCATGGAAACTAGAGCAGTTCCTACTCTGAAGTCCGAAAAGAGAGGTCATCTAGTTTAAGTTCAACAATGGTAAAAGGATAAAGGATAAAGCTCCCGACGTTGAACAATCAATGAGAGATGAGCCATGAATGCAACTTCATTAAGCATCGTCAGAAGTGAATGAATGCATATCTGACCTTTACAATAACTAGCAACGGTATACTGATATATCGAGTCAACCAACTTGCCGACCACGGAGGGAAGGAAGGGTTCGTGGGCATGGTGCCATAGATACCATATGTATTGCAAGGCGTCTCCGAACACTGCGCTACGTGCGCTAACAACAGTACACCGAATATAAATGGATATTAATAACGTAAAAAGACGTATGGATAAAGCTCATAAGCGCAATCCGGGTTAACAGCTACACTTCCACAATCTAAACTGCTTCTCACAGAGAACTCACGCTTGCCGTAGTATCTATAGTGACAATAGGGACCATGAACGTTTTTGTTCCACCTCTTATCGAACAAACCGATCTCCGTCTTATTCAGGACCCTGAAATAACACCGTCTTGAGACGAAAATGAAAAAAAATTATTGAAGCTAGTACGTTCAGAATGAATATGAAAAAATAATTATTGAAGCTAGTACGTTCAGATCTTCATCTGCTCGCCACACACTAATAGGAAAGAGCATGAATTTGGGTCAACTATCTCTTTCAATTATCAAGAAAAGAAACCTTCCACAATCAATCAATTACCAACCAAACAGAAATTGCAGTGGGTTCCGCATGATTCTTCGTGATTCACAAAATGAGTTATTCAAGTTCTTAAGAAGTCTACCAAATTAAAGCATTTACATACTTGGACACTTGAATGGCTCGTCTTCACTGGTTGTGCAGGGCCCGATATAATTCCCATTTCTTCAAAGCTTAGCTGGTTTAGCCATTATGGTTACCTGGAGGTCAGTCTAGCCAAAGTCTGCCCAAGTCGTCACCTCCACAAGCAGTCGTCGCCCTCGTGGATCAGATGGAGATTTGCCATTATTCAACTAACTTGACACCAGGACGGTGTTGAATATTGCTACTGGTTTACTCTCAGCTGGGTTTCGTGATGGAAACGCCGGACTCCCTTTCAGGTTGGGAGACACTGCCGGGGAATGAATACCCTCACTGTACATCACAGCCCAACACCCAGAAACACCTCCCATCCACAATGGGGAAGTAGACCGTTGGGAGGATTAAATTAAAATGAGGAAAAATCATTTATTAATCACAACGAAGTCATCTCTTACATTACTTAGCGATTTTATAGACAAAACGAACGAGCATGTCATGTTCGAACCGACATACCTTCAATGGGAAACAGTGCTCGCGAAAGTAATTTAAAAACAAAGTAGCGTAAGGAATATCCTCAACATGGAGTTTGGCCCATTATATGGCAACCCTAGTTAAATAACTTTTCACGAAAATCTTTTCATCATGAAAACGAACGTTGAGACTAGTGCGATTAAAACTTTAACACTAAAAATAGTGAATAGAATACGCAACTAACATTGCAAAGTCGCTAAGATACCTATCATCTTCAGGGAGCAATCTACGCCTTAAACACGTTAGCATGGATATTTGACCTATAGCAGCTACGTTACATATTGTCCTTAAAGTACATAAAAACTGCTGCTTCCAGTTCACGTTCCATGTAAGTTCAAGTTGTTCAGCGTAAGCTGTAAGTTTCATGTTCTTAAAGTTCCATGTATCTCTTACCTGTTATAAAAATACACTCCGAAACGTTCGAAAGCTCGTGCAATCGGAATAAAAATAAGGTCCGGAACCCAAGGAGTCAACTTTGTCCCTGGTGGAGGTGGACGAAACCAGGACATAGCTCCCTAAACTTTAGAATACAAAGGTAATGCTAAACGTGGAGCAGAACTAAGATCTATACAAGTACTACAAGTACGAAGAACCGAGCGAAATATATGTCTCATCGATGAGGTCATTTAGGAAAACCAGCACTTCTCTGTCTTCTCAGAATAAATATAAAGTCAAAACATCACCGTTAAATACGGATAAATCTAGTAGTACAAACGTACCTTGCAATAGGTGAAGGCCAACAGAACACTACAACGGGCGGCACGCCAACCCGCCAGACTGCAGAGTTTCGTTGCAGGAACCACCGTAAATATGAGTTTCATTCGAAACACGTCTTCGGGGAAGAAAATTGAGATTCCGCTTTACAAAACCGTAAGGCCGGCATTATCTACATTAGAACATAAACTAAGAGATGAACATCGTACATGTAGTAACCAATAGAAATAAAGTTTATCCGTATACAACTGCAGGTTGCACAAATCATAAAGGTCTCTGTACACACGTGCAGAAATAAAACTACAACATAACTGGTAACAAGATAAGTAGTAGTGAACACTTAAGAGAACAACACAGATCGTTCGAAGTCATGGAAACCTTCAAAAACGAGGATAGAGCCGTCGCTTTCGGTGACGAACAGAGGAGCACAGGATGCCTGAAGGAGCAAAAGTTTCTTAGTAAATGAATAGTCCTCGACAAAACCACTTGTAGATATTGTTTTCGATGTTTAGACCCTTGCCCTAATTGATTTATTTTGTTGTGGAATATATGGGGACAGTTAAGTTTGCAGTCTACGTAGCATTGATTGCACAAGGACTATAATCGACATATTACGTGCTTCATTTCGAGCGAGATCATGATTGTCACATAAATATAATGTAACTGTTACTGTTACTAGTTATTAAATACTTTAACCTACGAGTTAAAACTAACCTCCAAACGGTTTACCGCCTCATTGTGGCAGTGAGGTACTCATGCATATCGGGCTGCGATGTACAGCAGGGAGATTCATCCCCCCAGCACGGTCTCTCAAGCCGAGAATGAGACCAGTGTTCTATCAGAAAGCCCAGCTAAGAGTAAACCAATATCTACCAGAATCCACCACTGTAAACGAAGATCCACCATTCTTCTGGTACGAAACCGGTCGCATGATGGCAAATCTCCATTTGATTCACAGGGGCGGCTACTGTTTGTGGTAGTGACGATCTGGTGCAGACTTTGGCCTAACTGACCTCCAGACTCCAAGGAACTACAATGGCTAAGCCAGCAAAACACCGATCAGATTGAAATTACGCTGGAACCCGCACAACCAGTGAAGACGGTCCATCCAAGTACCCATGTAGGTAAGAATTCATTATTGTGACATATATTCAATGTAAATGGATCTAAAATCACTAGCAACCCTAAGTGCCGTTAGATCTACGTCAGCCCATTTTGTGGGAAAAATTGGGCCTAACACTTTCACTCTTCTTTCTCTGTAAGACAAACTTCTCGCCCATCGAGAAGCCATCGAAGACATAAACAATCAAACGACAACGATTCTTCTAAAGGATCCAGAAGTATGTTTCGATTATTATGTCAACAAGATAAAACAATAGAGTACATAAAGATAGTAAACAATACTAACATATGATGACACACTTTCCTTACCCCTAATAGCAATGCCTCTTCTGAGTTCTTGTGAAGAATCTGACGACTGTCGACGTGGGAAAGTGTAGAAATGATCTGATCAGAGTCTTTAAAGCTTAGTCCTGATTCTCGTGCACAAGTGAAAAGATGTGACCCTTTGGAGATAGGAAGTCGACTATTCCACATACGGCTACCAACAACTTCTATGGATCGAATGAAATGTTCTGGATAACGATCCTTGACTAAAGATAAGAAGACAGCCGGTAAAAGGCTTCCACTATATATCGCTGATGAGTGGCACTGTAACGATACATGCATTTCTTTCTCGTTTCCTTGAGAAGAACAACTATCGGGAAATTACCAACCTCCTCCCAATCAGTAGGTAGGACGCAATTGTCGGCTTCCGAAATACTTATTGATAAGGTCTTCGGAGTTTCATCCACTTTGGGCTGGTCAGTGAAGTCTCTGCTTTCTTTAAGATGCAATGATTATAATAAAAGGGTTCCTTTTACTGAAAATGAAAGGGAACTTACTCCTTCGACACATCCTTCGTTCGTACGTCCGAATCAAACGTAACTTAACATCAGATATGGGGATAAACTCCACGGCTCCCATAGACTTACTCACTTTCCAGTTTTGTAATATCTGGAAGAAAATATGAACAAAATTTGATACACACGCAAGATTTGCTATGCTCACCTGGAAAGTGGCCCATGAATTTGGACAGACGATATCAAAAAACACTCTCCATTTCGATGGCCACATTCAAAATCCCCTAATAAAGACAGCACACCAAGCTTTAAGTCTCTCCTGCGACCTTTCTTCTTTTCTGGTTCACTTTGAAGTCGGTCCAGTCACACGATGTTTCTGGAATAAACGACTTTCCACTTCAAAGTCACGAACTACCGTGAAAGAAGGAAGATGTAGTCCACTGCGAGTCAACTCCAATGCAAGTAGTAACTAATGAGAGAACCACAATTCATACCCAGAACTTTATAATTCATTGTAAGCACTTTTCTAAACAATAATGTGGCCAAATGAGAAAGAATTTGGGCGCGAATGTGCAACTGGGTCACACTAAGTGACCGTCTAATCCGTGACATGTTCATTTTCTTCGCGTTTGAGAAAATGTCGATTGTGAGAAACTTTCTGATGAATACTTTTCTGAAATGCGTTTGAAAAAACCCGAGCGCTTTCTTGCATGAAACCACATGAAATTCTCTTACAAGTCATACGTGGATTCCAGCACTTCTTCTTTTCTATTTGTTTCCTTGCATCCATCAACCACGAAGATCTTTGGATTTTCGTTTTGTTTCGGCTGTTGCTTGACGATTCTCAGTTTCCTTTATGAGTGTCGTTGAGTGCAGATCAAGTCGATTTTTCGTGGAATCTTGGCATAGCTCTGCCAGGGCGTTACGAGATCGTCACCAGAGGCAGTCGCAATATGAGAAAGTCCAGCCAACGGCAAATATCACTACTACATACAGTGGTCTATTGATATCAATGTTAGAAATCTAAGGTCGAGAGAATCTATCGCAGGGCTCCAAGGACAAGAACGGTCTGGGATGGCTATCCCAGCGACTCTAGAGAGAAGAAAAAACTGTTTCAACTGGTCAGATACTAGGGTATAGGAATTTATGCTTAAGTTAACTGGAATCATAAAAATAGAATTAACTTCTCAGTGTGATTCGACCTTACTACATAACTTGGGTACCAAAATTAAATACAGTAACATTTGATCAGGTTCTCTAATGTCTTCGGATTTCCAATGTAGAGCGAAGTAGACAGCTGTGAGCATTTGACGTCCAGCTCCTTTATTGTGTCTAAGAACACAAATCATGACTGAAGCCATCAATGTCCAGCTGCTCATAACGATTTTATTTATTTACTTATTTATTTATTCATTTATTTATGTCACTCGTCACCACGAAATCCGTACCCGAGCACTTCTTTAATTCCGATTTTCTATTAACCTCAGCATTGGTCAATTAATTCACTGTTTTCTTGATAAGCAGACACGAGGTTGTTGACAACTAGATTTGTACAATACAATACTGGCCGACGTCTCGGCGATTTCACCTTCTTCAGATCTGGAAGAGTTAAATTGACATGCAATCCGATCAACCAGACTCAGTCATATCCTCAGCAGAAAAAATTTGATACACAAGTTTGTATTCCCATAGTAAAATATCGACCGCAGTTCTTCATAGCGACGGGCTTTCTAGAACTCGGAAATGGTTCGAGCTACTGCACGTGAGAAATAGCGGCGATGTACGTGGAAAAGTCGGAGCTGAACAACGATTGAATGTAACAGTTACGAGCCTGAAAAGAGACATTTTAACAGAGAGTATGAAAGTCTAGAAATTTGAAAAGAATGAATGGAGTCACCATCTAAAAGAATAAAATCAAGGAGAAGTAACAGCACCGAGAAGGACGAGTGTCTTGTAAGCACGCTAATCACGTGCGACCTCGCTTACTAGCTCAGGCTGATTTTCTCTGACTTTAGCCAGGCATATTCCTTACCTATGCAAGACTCTGTGCGGTGAGTCTCCAACAGTGACTGAGGGGCTTACAAAGAACAAAACGGTGAGCGCCTAAAAGCAGCTGTTTGTTAAAGGAATAAACACTTATATAGTAACTTTTCTTTGCTCAGGTTGTGGAAATGTTTGACTGAGTAGATTTCGTGTCAAATCGACCTCTCCAAGCTCCAGAAAAGGAGAAACCACCGAAACCCTGGCCAGTATTCTACTTAATAAATCTTGTTAAAAATTTTTCCATTCGATTTGTTGCCTTGCATCTGTGGTCTCTGAAAGCTTTTTATATTTGAATGAGGATTCGGCTGGCAGGTGAAAATTTTGCTCTCTCAAATTTCACCGAATGCTGATGGACTTCATCTTTTCCGGAACCCCGGGATAGCTGTGCTAGATCGTTCATAGATCATGGGCACATGCAGGCGTTAGCCTTTTTGAGCACGGATGAGCTCCTTCCGGGTAAATCTCTCATCTACTGGCGAAACCGTGGATGGGGACACTCTGCACCATTGGATTATTATGCATTAAATTCCTCCGAAATTTATGTCAGATTTTTGATTTTTTCATTCTTGCATATGCTTTAACAGTAGTTACTCTTTCCACTTCTGTCCAGCAAACACGAGGTGTTATTTTATTTCCTTATTTACGCACAAGCTGACGTTTCGGCGGATTTCGTCTTCCTCGGAGTCTGGAAAGGTGAAGTTGACAGCAATCTATTCGGCCAAACACCTCCATAACCAAACAGAGAAAACGCTAAACCAAGATTTCAATCACATTGAACACAGCTCTGCACACTCACCGCTTTCTATGAGGCTTCCAGTAAATATGCTACGTAGAGACCAACCGCTCAGAATTCACATGGAAGCGTAATGTGCCTCTCCCATCAGAATAATTTTAGAAAGTCGGACGTGGGAGTAGTTACTCTTTTCATTGCTGCACCATTATGTATCATTGCACAGTTCATTTTGTGCGCTTTCACTCCGTACAGTTGAATTTAATACATTTTCTATTTTGGCCGGATTTCAAAAGTTAGGTTAAAAGCTGAAAGATAAAGCTCTCAGCGTTGATCAATCGCTGAGAAATGCGCCATGCATTCGACTTCACTAAGCATCGCTGAAGGTGATTGAATGCACATCTGGCCTTTACGATGACTCCCGGTGGCCGACCGATGTATCGAGCCAGTGTTGCTATCCTCCCAGAAGAGTCTGGTACCAATTTGCTGACCCCGGAGTGATGGAAAGCTTGGTGAGCCGTGGGCGTGGAGATCGATTCCAAGTGTGTCTTGCAGGGTGCCTGCGACAACTGGGCCGCATGCGCCCGAAGTTAGATTATCAGACGTTAAAACGTCAATTTCCACAAATCTGCTTCTACGAATTCTAACTCAGCCGTATTGTTATGAAACTGCTCGAAACATTAGTGGGCTATGGGCCTAACGAATTGTTAACAAACGTGCATTGGAACGAACAATTGGTTCGCATGATTTCGTCGTGGCAGCAAATTCGATTGTTAAGGTGGAAGGAGGTCGCGGACAACCTTATATTATTAGCGACGATGAATGAAAGGTTTTCTTGCAAGTAAATGCGCACCCAAAACTTGCTGAGAGTGTCGATTGTAAATATTCTGTTTTCCAGCATTTAAAAATCATTAGAAGGTGAGGAAGTTCGACATATGGATGCCGTAGGAGTTGAATGGCAATCAAAGAAGTTTTTATTTGCGGTATCATCATCGCTTCTTCAGCCCAAGTAGACTGACCTATTTCTCAACCGTATTGTGATGTGCTACCCGAGGTGGATACCCTCTGACAACCAACGTTAATTGGCTCAATGGTTAGATCTCGATGGAGCTCTCTCCGCAGCACTTCTCTAAGCCGAAAGTGCACCAAGGGATGTCATGCTGACCACTTGGTATTCTTGAGCCGGTTTGATCTATCGTAGCTTTCCGAATCCTGGTAACACGATTTCGGCCGATAAGTACGTCCAACACATCGATGAAGTGTACTGGAAACTTTACCTGCTGTGCTCCGAATTGATCAATAGAAAGGTACCAATCGTTCTCCACGATAACGCATGATCACTCAACGCACTCCACTGCAAAATTTGAACGAGCTTGACTATAAAACTTTACCAACCACCATTATTGTAGAATCTCTCGCCTATCGACTACTACTTTTTCAAGTATCTCAACGGCCTTCTATATAATAAATGTCTCAGAGACAAAATCCACTCCAAAACTGCCTCCAACGACTTCATCACCTCTAGTAGATCAGATTTATAAGCAGTCATTATAGATCAGTCTGCTGCTTTTACTTGTAGATAAAAATCTGTGGACTCCAATAGTGCTTACTTGGCGTAGCAATTCCCAAGACCAACTTTCTGTTAACCTCGTCATTGATTGATAATTGACCTAGCGTCATACTTCAGGCTGATCCATTGGCCTGACACAGGCACAGTCCTCGCCCATGTTGTGCGGCTGCTATCCACCAACTAACTTAAATACTTACAACGAATAAACGGTAGGTGTTTAAATGAAGCTGTTTCTTATGCGATTACAAGTTCATTTGCTATCTGCTAGGGTTATGAAAGTGTTTGGCTGAGAAGGTCGCATCTCAGTTTGACCTTTCAAGGCTCGGAAGAAGGCGAAACCGCCTAAACGTCAGCTATTGTATCCTAATAAATCCTATAATAACAACCTCGTGTCTGCTTAATGAAGAAAAACATTGAGTTCTTACTTGGATTAATAAACTTTATTCTGAGTTGAGGTATCCTACGTTAAAGAAGCAGATGAAAATTGTACATTAATTTGAGGACCACCTCACACCTCTGCTCATCACAAACTTTGTTGGACCGGGTAGAAACGGATGTCTTACATTCTTTAACAACAGAATATAAATTCATTGATTCCAGTACAATAAAGCTCTAAATTTGAAGCCCATGAAACCTTCAAGAAAAAATTTCAGTTTGCTTTCTGAGGAATTTCTTAGATAATCGTTGTCTAAGTGCTTGGAAAAGTGGTAGCACAGTGATAAGGAATGAGCTGACTATCCTGGATTAAGCAGAGTTCTGTAACCGAACTCTTGCAGCTGTTAAGGTGTCGGCTGTGCTGTGTGCGCGATAAGGGGTGTTCTTCGACTTCTTGAATATGTTATCCACTATATAGTCCATCCAGCATAAAAGATGTGACAGTAGACTGTGATTTTATCTGCTAATTATAGAACGCCATCCATATGTTTTCTCT